CCCCATGGGTAGCTTTAGCCTGGTCATATTGACGTGGGCGCAGGCGTCACATTGCTCAGTCATTTGTTTTATTATTTCTTCTATTCCCAACAGGTGGCGGGTATTTTCTTCCCGGGCTAACAGTTCTCTCATTTTCCTGGAGCTCAAATGAGTGAGTTTGTGTAGGCTGTTAACCAGATATCTAGTCATTAGGCGGGGAAGGACAGTCTTTCCTTGATAGGTCCAGAGACCATCATGTACTCGGGTCGCCCCCAGTCTTTTCATGGCTTTGATGTCTTTTATTTCATAGTCCCATGACGGGGAGGTCTTCTCGGAAGCCTCATTAGTTACAGGGACTACAGCCGCCTGGAGGAGGTGACTGTTGCTTTCCAAGGTCAAGGCAGCCTCCCGGGCGGCCAGGTCGGCCCTCCGGTTTCCCCGGGCAACGGGGCTGTCGCCTTTCTGATGCCCTGGGCAATGTATGATACTGAGGGCGGTTGGGAGGTGCAGAGCCTCTAAGAGGGCCAGGATTTCCTTTTGTTTTTAATGTCTCTGCCCTCTGAGGTCAATAGCCCCCTTCGCCTATAAATTTCACCATGGATGTGAGCGGTGGCAAAAGCATAGCGGCTGTCTGTGTAGACAGTGAGTTTCTTACCTTCTGCCAGTCTCAGGGCCTGTGTCAAGGCAATCAGTTCTGCTCGTTGGGCTGATGTTCCTGGCGGCAAGGCCTCGGCCCAAATTGTTTCTGACTCAGTTGTCAATGCAGCACCGGCTTTCCATTCTCCTTGATGTACAAAGCTGCTTCCGTCCGTGAACCAGACAAGGTCAGGGTTGGGAAGGGGTTGATCCGTGAGGTCAGCTCTCGTCCCATGGACCTCAGCCAGGACCTGCAAGCAGTTATGAGTCTCTGCTTCCCCGGGAGGGGGAGTAGCGAGGCGGGGTCTAGGGTCACCGGAGCCCCGGAGTGAATTCGGTCCTTGTCCAGCAACAGAGTCTGGTAATGGGTCATCCTGGCATTGGTGAGCCAGCGGCCCGGTGGCTGCCTGAGCATAGATAGTCAAAGGCTGCCCCAACGTCAATTTGTCAAAGGGTTCAGTCAGATCAGGTAACCCCAGAGCTGGGGAGCTGAGCAGAGCCTTCTTGATGTCCATGAAGGCTTTCTCCTGGCTCTCCCCTCAGTCAAAGTTGTCCCAAGATTCCCAGGTCTGCATCCTGCCATTCAAAGGCAAACAGTGGCTGACTGTCTTTGTGTAACCGCAGGCAGAAGAAGGCATCCTTCAAATCCAGGACTGAGTATCAAACATAGTCAGGTGGCAGTCCACCCAGGAGGTTATAGGGATTGGGGACCATGGGGTGTATGTCCTCAACCCGCTTATTGACTTCCCGGAGGTCCTGGACCGGCCTATAGTCATTGGTTCCTGGCTTCTTGACTGGCAACAGGGGAGTGTTCCAGGGGGACCGGCAGGGGTTTGGGTCTCTGAAAGGTCCTTCTTTCTAAGTGAGGCCCCCTTTGTCCCTCTCTCTACCTATCCTGTCTCTGCGACTACTGTGGCCAACAGTTTAGTCATTTCTCTGTTACGCTTCTTGTCCCTTGCTATCCTGTCTCTCTCATTTCCTGTCTCTGACATTCTGTCTCCATCTTTTCTCTCTCTGTCTGAGCTTCTCTTTTCATAAAAAATGCGTTCTGTCTCCCTCAATACATCTGGTAGTGTATACCCCTGTCATATGGGTTATACATTCTGTAAGCTTCCTTAAGTCTTTCAAAAAATGCGGCTGGCGATTCCTCTGCCTTCTGAACTATCTGTCTTACCTGGGCCAAATTTATAGATTGCTTATCCGTCTTTCGGAGACTCGCTACAAGCAACTGGCATTAAAGACATTAGATGGGTCCTACCTGCCTCAGTGGTGAAGTCCCAGTCTGGGCAGCATCAATTTCATTTGGAAGCTGCGTAGGTTGTCCATTTGCCCCAGGTGGGGTGATGGGTAGTAAGAACCGACTCCAATAGATCAGTCATTCTCACAGGATCTGCTGAAAAGGAGGGGGTTATTTTTTCCAGTTATAAAGATCTGAGGCAGAGAACGGCCAGTATTGCAACTGGCCATCATGGCCCGTCCGGAGGCAGGGCGGTTTAATCCGGAGCGGGCTGAGGCTACGGCGCCGCCCGGAAGGGCCGGAGCGTCTGCCGGGGAGCGGGGCCGAGGGGCGTGGCGGCCGCTCTCTGACCCGGTCCATCGCGGGCCGCAGGGAGGCAGACACAGCTCCCCTCGCATTGTCGCCGGTCACATTCAGGGCGCCCTTCGCGCAGCGGCCGGGACGCTGAACTCGAACCGGAAATGGGCCGCAGCCCGAGCGGTGCCGCAGCGGCGGCGGCGGGGGTTAGGGAAGAGGAGGGGGAGGGAGGGTCATAGACCGGCACTTCCCAGGTAACTATATAGGGTACTTGGTCCGGGTGGCCCTGGGGTCCAGGATCCATGACTTTCTCTTTCACCTGGAAAATAATTTGAGGGTTAAAGGTGCCATCTCGTGGCCAGCCAACATCAAAAGTTGGCCATTCAGAAGAGCAAAGGATGATCCATGCTTCTTGCGCGCGACAGTCCGGTTACGAGCATCTCGAGAGCGATGACAAACGACATTCAGACGGACGAACAGATAAGAAACAAAAACAAACAGATTTTCGCTGCGCGGCTTTGACGAAAGTCAAAAGCAAATTCAGATCGGGGACGGGGGCCTTGTGCTCCCGTCCTTGTCCCCTATCAGGATGGAAACTCCCTCGGCCAGCGGGACTTCCCCAAACAGACGGGGCAGATTCCTAGGCATCTACCCCAAACAACCGAGTCCCTAAGAACTCCAGCTCCAGATACAGACCTGCCCCAAACAGACGAGTTCCCTAAGAACTCCAGACGGGGCAGATGGACATCTGCCCCAAACAGACGGGGCCCCAAACAGACGAGTTCCCTAAGAACTCCAGACGGGGCAGATGGACATCTGCCCCAAACAGACGGGGCCCCAAACAGACGAGTTCCCTAAGAACTCCAGACGGGGCAGATGGACATCTGCCCCAAACAGACGGGGCCCCAAACAGACGAGTTCCCTAAGAACTCCAGACGGGGCAGATGGACATCTGCCCCAAACAGACGGGGCCCCAAACAGACGAGTTCCCTAAGAACTCCAGACGGGGCAGATGGACATCTGCCCCAAACAGACGGGGCCCCAAACAGACGAGGCAGATCGTGTCCTAGAGCTGCGGTCGGTGCCACCAGATACAGATGTATACAGCTGTATATTACAGACGCAGGCGCAATAAAACAACAGGCATAGACAGACAGACAGCAGACAACAGAAACAACAGAAATTTAGTCCGGACAATTCTTACCTCCCAGAAGTGGGTCGGTGGTCCCTGGGCGGGGTCTCAATTCCCGGCCAATGCACCAAATGAAAGACCCCAGGCGGGGGACTTTCACGGGGAGGGAGACACGAACCCAAGGAACACCGAGACCACGACCTTGGATGCAAACAGCAAGAGGCTTTATTTACACACGGGTACCCGGGCGTCTCAGTCTTGGGGGGCTGAGCGCCCCGAGCTGGGGACTCAGGGGTCCTTTTATAGCAAAAAGCGGAGTACAGAAGCAAGAAGCCTAGTTACAGGACCCTGATTGGACAATATAAATGAGGCCGGGGGGGCTCAGAATGAGGGCTATTGAGGTTTCTCTCAGAACTCAAGTCTCGGCCTTGGCCCTATCTGAGGAACAATAGGTCTCTGTGCCGGCCCAGTCTTGCTGGGCTGGCTATGCAGACGCTATGTAGATAGCAGACACCTGTGTCCGGCCTGGACAGAGTTAGTAGTGACTATTCAGCTGTAAAGACCTTGAGCTGAGCTTCCTTCTGATCAAAAAAATGACTATTCGGCTGATCTGTGGGGGAAAGGAATTTTCCATAGGCCTCAGCCACCTGTGCTGGGCCGGGGTCTTTCAATATGTTGGGTAAGTACGTAGTATGATTAGTGAATTGTGTGCTTTAAGAAATTGCCAAATATAGATTGACAAGGTGGCTCAGAGGGTAAGGCCCTTCGATCCCGGGGACCCACATATGGGAGAGAGTCGATTCCTGTAAGTTGTTCTTTAAACTCCACATGCCATCAGTCCTAGTGATAGAACACACATCCACCCACCCAACCGCATGAATAAATGTAATGTAAACAGTTGACTACCAAAAAAAAATTTTTGGGCAGTGGTGGCGCACGCCTTTAATCCCAAACACTTGGGAGGCAGAGGCAGGAGGATCTCAGTGAGTTCGAGGCCAGCCTGGTCTACAGAGTGAGTTCCAGGACAGTCAGGGCTGTTACACAGAGAAAACCTGTCTCGAAAAATAAGAACAAACAAAAATTGGCTATCAAGCAGTTGGTGTGGTTTCAGTGAGCAGACATAGCACTGTGCCTGCCCGTGAAGTAGGGACGGAAAGGCAAAGAGAGGAGGAAACCTGCACAATTCCTAGCACCATCATTTATGACATGGAAGAAGGGAAGCTTCACACAGAGTGCAAGAGTTTCAGAACAGAAGCCCAGTTTCTCCGGGGACACACCACCACTGTCTGGCCTGATGCTGTATTTCAAAATGTGCTATGTGGATTTCGTGCCTGTCTACATGAGGACACGCCATTAGGACCGAAAACAGTCTGTAGAACCCTGGGGCCCAGAAAGAACTTCTAGCAACCGCAACAGGTTTTGGTCTCCTAGCAACCGCGAATCGATTACTCGGCGCTCGATTGGATTGGCGCCCACCTGAGCTGCAACGCTCTGGGCGGAGCGTCTGGAAGCCCGCCCACTCCCGGGAGCGTGCGGGGTGGGGCTGTGCGGTGCGCACGCGCAGAGCGGGCGGTGCGGCTGTGAAGAGCGGAAGGCCGCCACTCAGGCAATGGGCAGGACGCTCGCACGCCGAGTGGCTGAGGAGCCGGAAACGCACCCCGAGTGGCTGAGAAACCGGAAACTCGCCCCGGGGGGTGCGGCCGGAGGAGGCGGAGCTGGATGGGCGGGGCCGGGCGGGAAACGTTAGGGGAGCCGTGAGCGGGGCGCGGGGTCCGGGCGAGCAAGGGTCGCCCGGGCCGAGCTGTGGCCGAATGAAGATCCGGGCGTGTGGGCCGCTGCGCCCCAGTGCGGGGCTCAGGTGGGCGACGCGGCCGGGCGCGTGAGCGCGGCCAGCGCGGGGAGAGGCCGTGGCTCATCGCTCTTCTCCCCTTCCAGGTCGGCCAGCAGGGCTGCCAGCGCTTCCGGAAAAACAGCCCCGGGCGCCGCCCAGCATGCTCCGCTCTCGGCGCGGAGCTCGGCCGCCGGCCCTCGGAGACGTCGGGCGGTCCGGGGAGGCGCGGCCGCCGGCGGGATGTGCTAGCACGTGACACCGGCCGGGGCGCGCTGCAGTCGGACGCCGGTCCCCTCACTGCCTGCGCAGGTGAGGCGGGCGGGGAGTCGGGAGGACGCGGCCGGAGAGGGCGTCTTTGTTTGGGTGCCTTCGGGAGGTCATGGAAAATGGAATGGAGCTCCCGAACCTAACCAGAAAAAAAGAAAAAAAAATCCAGAGTGCTAGTTGATTCCAGGTGTGCGTGATTGCTCAGAGTTGTTAGCTGCTTGACACCTTTTCCCTGCCTTTGAGTTCATTGTAGCGTTTGATATTTTAATTTGAGTCCTCACCTTTGGGTTTGCGGGCTACTTTAGCCGGGGATGGACGGTGGAGTGCGGAAATTTAAGTTACTAACTGTGCAAGCTTCGTGAATTAGAAAGTGCTGTGCCAGCACAGTATAGAAACAAACCAAAGACGGAGTTGTATTTAGCTGGTATTTTTCAGAATCCTTTAAAAGTCTTCTTAGAGTGTGGAGGAGTAAACGTATTGACTGGAATTGTTGGAGCTGGTCGATGCATCTTACAAAGTGCGAGGTCTGTAGCTAACACGATTAGGTTGTTTAGAAACAGGATGGTTTGCCGAAGATGCCAAGTGAAGAAGACACTTAGTGTCTTCACTTGGGTTTTCCTACGATGGGCTGGCAGACAGGAGACGGGTGGGTGGAACACAAAGTGCTTTGAGGATCAGCGTGCGCATCCTTCCTGACATCTTCCTCTTTGAGTGCTTGTTGCCTTTGCTTTATGGCTTTGAGGTCATCACATTTTAGAGACTCACAACAAAGCAGAAATGTGCTGAGCCTTCTTGATTTGAACTGGTTTGAGAAGGCCCAGGACGGAAGTTTACTCTCATGTTGTTCAGAGCTTTCAGGATAGGAAGTGACACACTTGATCCTGCTCTACAAAGTCACTGCAGTCGCTTTGTTGTAGGCTTTATGGCTCCAGTGGGATTGTGTTTTAGGTATGGTTGCAGCTAGCAAAAGTTAGAGAAGTCTGTTTTAAACTAGCTGGAGCTAGAAACTTCAAATGAAAATAGTGGCTTCTTTAGGCTACAAGGAGTTTCCATTCTTCTGTGAGAAAAAACAAAAACAAAACATCTGTTGTCCTCCAGACAGTGTACTTAATTTACCTGTGGTCTTCCTAGTCAGGGTGATGAGTGGACATTGCTTTAAGGTCTCTCATACTTAGCTGATATCCAAAAGCTAGTTTTATGATTACACTATGGATATAGTGTAATTCAAGAAAAAGGTCTATGTAGGACTTAATATCCTACAAATGGTAGGATATCCAGGGTTTAGCCACGTCCTAAAGTAAATAGAACTCTGTAAAAGGCAAAAACTGTCTGAAATTTGTTACTAGGCTAAGAGTTGGGTGTCGTAAATTAGATTGGAGATCAAAACTCAGCTGTACCTCAGACTAGTTATGTGATTTTAGGTTGTTTTTTAACCTCAAAATCTGGGCTTTCTTATTATTAAAATGGGGTTTAGGTGCCAGTTCAGGGCTGGGGAAATGGCTCAGAGAATAAAAGCACTAGTTGTGTATGGAGCTGACAGTTCCAGTTAGGTCCCTGGAACCCACATGAAAAGCTGTGTGCTGTGGTGGCATCTGTAATTCTAGCACTCCTAGGGGAGATGGGAGGCTGACCGGGGATCACCTCAGAACTGACAAGTCAGCCAGCCTGAAAGGAGCACAGCAACCGTAAAGGCCCTGCCTCAACAACATGGAAGTTGAGAACAACCTCCAGACCTCCGTGAAGTCCTCAGCCCTATTCACTCATATATGTGCATGTTAATTAGACGAGGAAGATAACTGGATTAGCGAACACTGGCTTCTGTGACAAGGGGAGACATCCATCATAGTGGGGCAGACACACTCAGTGTGTGCTCGTGTGAGTCTAAGTCCACTGTGGTTGACAGTGGAGGGTTACCATCATACGGCCTTAAAGTGTGTGGTTTAGGGGAGGCAGAGCACATCACTTTCCCGTTGTTCCTGATGTGCCGTTGACTCACAGGAAGAGCGTGCTGCAATGAATGCAGAGCAGGGTGGGAGGAGCCTTCTGTCTATAATCTCTGTAACTGAGAATACGGTCTCTAAGTTCTGATTAGAAACTAATATGTATACATTTTTAAATGTTTACTTTTAATTATATGTGCACGTCTATCTATGCTCCTGTGGGTGCCCTCCCCCAGCTGGAGCACAGGTGTGGACACAGCTCCCCCTCAGCCCCAGCTGGAGCACAGGTGTGGACACAGCTACCCCCAGCCCCAGCTGGAGCACAGGTGTGGACACAGACCCCCCCCCAGCCCCAGCTGGAGCACAGGTGTGGACACAGCTCCCCCCAAGCTGGAGTACAGGTGTTGACACCCCCCACAGCTGGAGCACAGGTGTGGACACAGCTCCCCCCAAGTTGGAGTACAGGTGTGGACACAGCCCCGGTCCCCCAGCTGGAGCACAGGTTGTGAGGCTACCTGCTGTTGAATGTTGGGAACTGAACATGGTTACTGCAGACTGAATTCAAGTCCTCTGAAGAGCAGCAAGGACTCTTAACCCATGCGCCATCTCTCCAGTGTATTTTTCTTTGAGGCAAGATCTTGCTATATAGTCTAGACTGACCTTGCGTTTACCAAGCAGTACAGGGTAGCCTTGGAACTTTGGCATCCCTCCTGCCTCAGCTTCCCTAGTTCTACGGTGTCACACCTAACTGAAACTAAAGCCTTTCAGTAACAGCTGCCAAATAACCCAGTATTACTTGTTTAAGATATGCTTAGCGGCATTGCAAGCACTGTTCAGAAAAGGTGATTTCTTGATTCTTCAGTCTCTGAAAATGGTCTTTGTAGCAACAGGGTCTGACGTGTAGGAACATCTTTGGCAATCTTTTGTCGGATGGTTGATGGCCTTTTTATTGAACTACTTTATGATTTGAAGCGTATGTTATATCTTTGAGCTTTAATTTGTCATCTTCCTTACTGTACAGAATTAGTGTGAAGTCAAAATGGTTTTAGTAGAGTTCTGGCAAAGCTTGCATGATGAACCTCAGTGTGAGGATATTAAGATTCTTTAATAAGATATGGATATGAATTTTAAGAAAATACTGACTCTTAGGAGAGCGTGGTGTTCTTTATGCCATTGATAATCTGATTCTGACCTAACAGTATTTTTCACTCACTGAGGAGAGAGGCTTAGTAAAGCTACTTGAGCACTTTAAAAATAGAATGCCTAAAAACTACTGGTTTGAGCAGGTAAGCCAAATGGAAATAGTAAGTACTATGAGAAGATAAGCGTGGGTGATTCAACAGAGCGAACAGAATAAGCCACCATACACAGCTAGAGCTGTAGACTGTAGACTTGAGTGCGTGGGTTGGAACAAGGCAGGTTGAGTTAAAGTCCTGTGTAAGGTATGTGACATTGACATGTGTTAGTTAACAGAATCACAGTTCTGTCTGGTGGTGTGTAAAGAGCAGTTGGTCAGGTCCCATTTCCATATTCCTCGGTTCTTGGCTCTCTTAACATGAGGTTACAATGGTTGTGTGTGCTTTTTCCTAGGATGAATGACATGAATTTGAGCCCAGTGGGGATGGAGCAGCTGTCTTCATCCTCTGTGAGCAATGCCCTGCCAGTCTCAGGAAGTCACCTGGGCTTGGCTGCCTCTCCCTCTCACAGTGCTATCCCTGCCCCAGGTAAGTGGGAGCCACTGCACTTGAGCATGCTGTTGGGCTCTGAAAGCATTTAGGCTAGTACAGAGAAACTAGTGAGCAGCCTCTGTAGCATCCTAGTGGATGGGAGTAGCAATTTCTCTGTAGTCTCTGTTGGGTTACTCTTTGATCCATAGCTGATACTGACTTGGCTTTTTATCTGGGCCTTTTTATCTCATACTCATCTAGTTGACACTTTGACATGTCCCTAATTATTAGAAGAGGATCAGTTAAATTTCCTCTGTAAGTTCCCAAAGCATTTGAAATCCGGCTTGCTTTGGAAACTGAGCATCTGTAGGGAGGGGCAAGGCCTGCCTTTGTGGGGAAAGTGGTGCGAGTGATAGAGCTCCTATGGGAACTCTGTGAGCATGGGCGTCTGCAGAGACCCTGGACTGGGACTCGCAGTCTTCCCTGCTCCTGCCTTAACACACCAGCTTCCTCCTCCTTCCCTACCCCTGCCTTAACACACCTGCTCCCTTCTCCTTCCCTACCCCTGCCTTAACACACCTGCTCCCTCCTCCTTCCCTACCCCTGCCTTAACACACCTGCTCCCTCCTCCTTCCCTACCCCTGCCTTAACACACCTGCTCCCTCCTCCTTCCCTACCCCTGCCTTAACACACCTGCTCCCTCCTCCTTCCCTACCCCTGCCTTAACACACCTGCTCCCTCCTCCTTCCCTACCCCTGCCTTAACACACCTGCTCCTTCCTCCTTCCCTACCCCTGCCTTAACACATCAGTTCCCTTTTTTGCTGTTGGGAGATTTTATTCTGTTTGAGAAATGATCATACGTAGCCTGGATTGGCCCCAATGTTAATATAACCAGGGTGACTTTGAACTCCTGATCCTCTTGGCTCCAGGGCCCAAGTGGCGGGATTACAGGTGTGTGCCGCCACACCTGGTTCTCAAACCATTTTATTCTCTAGCTTTGTTTTCTTTTCCTACTGAAATGAGAAATGAGTAAGCTATTGATTCTTAAGGATATGTAGCATTGTAATATTTTATTGGACTTTGTTTAGTATTTAGTAAAAGTTTTTTTTTTTTTTTTGGTTTTTTCGAGACAGGGTTTCTCTGTATTGTTTTGGAGCCTGTCCTAGAACTCGCTCGGTAGACCAGGGTTGGTCTCGAACTCACAGAAATCCACCTGCCTCTGCCTCCCAAGTGCTGGGATTAAAGGCATGCACCACCACCGCCTGGCGTAAAAGATTTTTAAATAGTTCTCTGTAGATAATTATATCCTGAATTAGTAAAATATAGCAGCCAAGCCAGATGAATTGAAATTAACATCTCCTTCCTTAAAAGAAATAGAAAAAAGTTATTTTATTTTTGTGGTGTGTGTGTTTTGTTGGATTCTTGTTGAAAACATGGCACTTCTTTCCACACTAATAATCTGAAGCAGACCCAGGGTTCCTTTTGTGTATCTCAGAGGCCAGAATAAGGAGTCGGACTCCTTGGAAGTTAAGTTTCAGATGGCTGTGAACTCCATGTGGGTGCTAAGGCTCTGAACCTGGTCCTTTGTTAGTGTAGCAAATACTCTAGCTGCTGGGTCGTCTCTGGCCCTACAAAAGAAACTTAGAAGCGCATAATGGAGTATGCTGTAACCTCAGCATTTAGGAGTACAGGCAGGAAGATAAGGAGTTGAAGGTCAGCTGTGGCCTTGGAACTGTCTTTTACAAAATGTTCACCTGTCTATCGCTTAGGCATTCCTCGCCTGGAGATCAGAGGGCGGAGCTCTAGCCACTAGTTAACCATAGAAACTGAGTTGTGGTGGCTCATGCTTTTAATCCCAGCACTCATGAGGTGGAGACAGGAAATGGTAAGGTGGGGTGGAGACAGGATCTCAGCCCTTTTGGACGGAGGAAGGACACAGGTAGGAAGCAACTGGTGGTTGCTACCGGTTCTCTGATCTTTCAGGTCCCCTGCCCCATGTCTGATTCCCGATTCTTTATTGATAAGGATTAAGTAGATTAATGCTTCAGAAGACAGTCTTACTTAGAAAAGGATTGTATTAAAAAATACTCCCTTTGACTAAAATATGCAAATCTGCACTGACTAAGTTAGTGGCATTCATTTGATGCTTAGGCACAGGAAAAGTCTTTTAAGCTTTTGAAAATGGGTACAAGCCAAGGTGGGGGTATAGGCTAAGGTTCAGACTGTCTGATTGTGAAGTACAGTGTAGAGGAAGGGTGGAAAATAAACACATGCAGCTCCACGTCTAACTTTAGTCCTGATGGCTTCCAAGTGCAAACATACCTCTTTTGTTTGTTACATTTTTAGACATGGTCTTACTATGTTGCCCAGGCTGGGCTGAAACTGAAAATCCTTCTGCCTCTGCCTTCCTGGTACTGAGATTACAGTAGAAACTGAAAATCCTTTTACATCTGCCTTCCTGGTACTGGGATTACGGTAATACACCACCATGCCAATCATTTGAGTGCTCTAAAAATGAAATGTGTAGTGACAAAGGAATATTAAATGAGGCTTTAAAAATGTTATGACTGCAAGAGACCACACGTGTGAACAGGTTTTTTTTGTTGTTGTTGTTGTTTTTTTTTTGTTTGGTTAGTTAGTTTTTCAAGACAGGGTTTCTCTGTGTAACAGCTCTGGCTATCCTGGAACTTGCTCTGTAGACCAGGCTGGCTTCGAATTCACAGAGATCCCACCATCGCCTGGCCAGTTTCTGTTTTTAATCTTTATTTACCTTAAAGAGTCACTTTTTACTGTTATGTGAGCATACCCACATGAGGGCTGGTGCCTAGCAGAGACATGACTGCTGGGAATGGAACGCTGGTCCTCTGGTGGGGCAGTACGTACTCTTAACACTAAGACATCTCTCCAGCCCCCTGTTACTTTCAGCTGTTAGTCAAACTAGATTGTTAATTGTTTTGATATTTAGGAGAAACACCACTAGAGGATCAGTTTAGCACTTTAAAAATAACCTGATGTGCACACATACACACTAAACTAATTTGAGGGCCAGGTTTGGTCATGCGCACTTATAATCCCACCATTCCATGGTTCATAGTCAGGGTGGGCTACATAGGCCTTTGTTGAGAAGTAATTGGAGACTATGACTGTTTGTTTGGTTATGTTATAGATGTTACCCAGTAGTGTCTTGGGGTACAAAGGGCTATCAGGGAGAAATTCTTTTGTTTCTCTAGAGCTTTGCCTGTGATTTTTAGGGTCTAATCTTCTTTTAATTAAGAAAAAAACTTTTTTTTAAAGGTCTCCCAGTGGCAATTCCAAACCTGGGTCCCTCCCTGAGCTCTCTGCCTTCTGCCTTGTCCCTGATGCTCCCTATGGGCATTGGAGATAGAGGGGTGATGTGTGGGCTACCTGAAAGAAACTACACCCTACCTCCACCACCGTACCCTCACCTAGAGAGCAGTTACTTCAGGACCATTCTACCTGGTGAGTTTCATAGTTGTGTGTGTGTGTGTGTGTGTGTGTGTGTGTGTGTGTGTGTGTGTGTGTGTGTTGGCACCATTCTACTGGTAAGTTTTATAAGTTTTATAGTTCTTGTGTGTTAGTGTGTGTGTGGGAGGGGTGGAACCATTCTACCTGGTAAGTTTTATAGTTCGTGTGTGTGTGTGTGTGTGTGTGTGTGTGTGTGTGTGTGTGTGTGTGTGTGTGTGTGTGTGTGTGTGTGGTGGAACCATTCTACCTGGTAAGATTTATGCGGGGAGTGGGGGCATGGAACCACTCTGACTTCAGCTTCTAGAGATTAGAATTGACATCTTTTTCTCCATCCTTATTGGATAGCAGTCTCTGGGTTTACTTATAACATGCATGTAGTTAAATGGGAAGGAAGCAGTTTGAGTAATTAATTTTTTTTATTGTCTTGTTAGTATAGTTTTAATTTTTTAAGAATTGCTTTGGTTTTTTAAGTGGTGGGGATTGAATCTAGGGCCTCCTGCATGATAGAAAGGGATGTTACACTGAGCTACCCTGAAGCCCTTTTTGAGACTGGGCCACTGTCTACATAGCAGAGAATGATTTTGTTCCAGATCCTCTTGCTTACACCTCCAAAGTAATTTACCTGCTGAGTCATCTTCCAGTTTCCTATGGTTCAGGGAATTTGTTGTTTTATTTTTCAAGAGAGGGTTTCTCTGTGTAGTCATGACTGCCTGGAACTCACTCTGTAGACCAGACTGGCCTCCTGAGTGCTAGGATTAAAGGTTTGCCCCCCCCAAGGCTAACCAGTCTTTATATAAAGCAAATTATGATCACTGAATATTGGTTCAGTATTTTTTAATTCTATATTTTACCAGCTACCTGTCATGCTTAAAGTTTATTGACTTTTTAGTCTGTTATAAAAGTATTACATATACTCTTTTCAGAAAATTTGGCAAATAGCAAGAAAGGGAAGCCACATTTGTCTTTCTGGTGTACTTCTGTCTTTGGAGCACTGGTGGTTACAGCTTTTCATGATTTAAGACCATGATTTCTCTACAGTTGTGTGTTTTTACTTCATATTTTCCCCTGCTATTGCATGGTTTTCACAAGCCCTCTCCTGTACTTTTTTGAAATAGGCTTCACTTTGTTGCCCTGGCTTGCCCAAGGACTCACTATGTAGACCAGGCTGGCTTTGAACCAGAGACTTGTCTGCCTCTTTGCCAAGTGCTGGGATTAAAGGAGTGTGCCATCAAGCCCGATATTCTTAATGGTCATTTTAGATAGCATATTCCTGTAATGCCAACATTTGGGAGGCTAAAGTAGGGAGATCAGGAATTCAGACTAGCCAGTATCTGTCAAAAAAAAAATCTACTGGGTGAATATTTAATGGTCTTCATTGTTGGACAGCTTGATTTTTTTCCCAGGTTTTATTGTCATTATAGCTGATGTTCTTAGGAGTGTCTGTGTATATTTACAGAATATACTCAGGCATTTAGGGAAAGTTGCTGTATAAATGGAATGGTTTATGTAAGACAGTACAGCCATTTTTGAGGTTGGTAAATATACTATTTTAGTATGTACTGTCCTACTAGAAGTACCTCAGATAACATCCACATCCTTAGAAGCATAGCTTTGGACTTGGGATATACTTCATTTCAGTAGTAAGACTTTTTTTGAGGCCCTGGGTCTGATCCCAGCCTGCCCCCACTCCCAAAAAAAGTTTTTGTAAAATAGGCTTGTTTTAAATCATTTATTTTGCTTTGATAATTTTATAACAAAAGTTCTTAAATCATTTTATTGCTTATTTATATATATTTTTTGCAGAGCAAATTTTAGCATCTTAGAACCTAATACTTGCAACCACATAGATATTAGATTCCATTGAAGTTGTTTTTAGTTGGCTTTGTCAGATCAGTTTCATGTGTTCAGGATGTGAGTTTCATAGAGAAACTCAGAATAGTATATGTACTACTTGCATAGTTACTGATTTAAAAAGTAGCAGATTATTTAATTCAGCTATATTTGTAAGGAACATGGTTCCTAGCACTTGAAATTTCTTATGTTTAGTAATGTGTCTTGTCTTTTCTCAGGCATTCTGTCTTATTTAGCTGACAGACCGCCTCCTCAGTACATCCACCCCAGCTCCATGAACGCCGACGGGAACACAGCACTGTCTGTCCCCAACAGCTCTTCAGCACTGGATCCTTATCAGGCCAGTGGAAACGCTGGATTGGAATTAGGCGTTGTTTCAATAGACTCTCGCTCTGTGAACACACATGGTGCCCAAAGTCTTCATCCTAACGATGGCCACGAAGTGACATTGGACACAGCAATCACTATGGAGAATGTTTCTAGGGTTACCAGCCCAATCTCTACAGATGGGATGGCAGAGGAGCTTACAATGGATGGTGTTGCAGGAGAACATACGCAAATCCCAAATGGCTCCAGAAGTCATGAAACTCTCTCTGTGGACTCTGTGAGCAACAGCCTTACAGCAGACACTGTAGGACATGGTGTGATCCCCATTCATGGGAATGGTCTGGAGCTTCCTGTGGTCATGGAGACAGACCACATTGCAAATCGGGTCAATGGGATGTCTGACAGTGCTCTCAGTGACTCCATCCACACCGTGGCCATGAGCACCAACTCTGTAAGCGTGGCACTCTCTACCTCACACAACCTCGCCTCCCTAGAATCTGTGTCCCTCCATGAAGTTGGCCTAAGCCTAGAGCCTGTGGCTGTGTCTTCCATCACACAGGAGGTTGCCATGGGGACAGGTCATGTTGATGTCTCCTCAGACAGCTTGGCTTTTGTACCACCTTCACTGCAGATGGAAGACTCCAATTCAAACAAGGAAAACATGGCAGCCTTGTTTACAATTTGTGAGTGTGCTTCACTCTTCTCTTCTGGAAATAGTGCTTCTTGCCTGTAAAAATTATATGTGTTTGAGAGTTTTGTCTGCATGCATGTACATGTACTACATCATGCTAGTGCCTGCAGAATCTAGGACAGTGTTGGATTCCCTGAACTGGGTTATAAAGAGTGAGCCATCATGTGTGTTCTGGGACTCGAACCTGGATCCTCTGCAAGAGTAGCAGGTGCTCTTAATTGCTGAGCCCTCTCTGTACAGATCACAAATACTGGTTTTAGAATGCCATTGCCTTGACTAGTGTTTGCTATAGTTTGATGATAGTTAAGGAAGTTTAGAAAGGAATCTCACTTTGGATTTTCCTTTGCCCTCATATTATCCTTTTATTAATCTGGTGCCATTTCCTCAAGTCAAAGAATATATGTACAATTTATTGGTTCTTTTTTTTTTTAATTTATTGGTTCTTACATTGACTTCCTGGGGTAAACAGACAGTATAGTTGTATCTGTACCATTAAGTTGTAGCCCTGTAATCAAGATATTTCCCAAACAGCATTATAAGAGTAAAATGTAACACAGGTAATCTTGGTGATATACATTGTGCTCTTTCAGTTTATGCCAGAAGTAAAAAGTTGCTCGAGGCTGGGCGGTGGTGGCGCACGCCTTTAATCCCAGCACTCGGGAGGCAGAGGCCAGGCTGGACCTATAGACTCCAAAACAATATAGAGAAACCCTGTCTCGTAAAAACAAACAAACAAACAAAGTTGCTAGAACACTTTTATAACTATGGGAAAATGTAGGTTGATATACAGCGGTTTGTCTTGGACTGTATGAGTTACTATAGTTGGGCATGTGAAAGTTCTTTTTTTATTGGGCAGCAACAAAAACTGTAAAAATGGTTGATTTGTTGGTTTCACTTTGTGCTTAAGCTATGCAAGAGACTTTGAAGTGCTCACTGCCTGCTGTTCTCTGCTAGATGCAGGGTCAGGGCAGTCCACCAAGCAAAGCAGTGCAGACTTGAAGGAAGTCTACACTCTAGCCTCATGGGAAGCATGGATAAAACCCAGGCAGCTGTAGGAAGTACATAGTAACAGTAAAAGCGTCAACGATGCGATTAAGCTCATGCTTCTTAAGGAGCTTGAAGAACAGGTATGTAGGCTGTGGAATGGTCAGCGTGTTAGCCACAGGGGGCAGCGTTTGTCGTAGCTTAGGCCTCAGGACAGGAGAGATGGGAGGCCACTGCTAGGAAGCCAGCCATTGGCACCTGTTAAATGCCGAGAATGAAAAGAGTTGCAAGTGGTTCAGATGCCTGTAGTGGACAATGGAGCTAAGGGACCTGTCACTTAAGTGACACAAGTAGGAGCAGAACATACAGGGTTGTTAAGACCCCGTAAGGATTTTAGGAGTAAGGATTGGTATGGGCTTCTACTGCAGTGTGAGCTGTTAGATTTGTTTATTGTAGGAAGGTAATGCTGAAGTTCAGTGACTGGTGACTTCCTTACCTCACAGAAGAAAGATGAAGAAAGTAGAACATTTGTAGAATAGTCATGTAGGGCTTGTATGTAGGCTGAGAGAATCTCCTGCATGGGAAAAAACGACAGAACATTATGCTGAAAGGTGGGGAGAGGGCAGTGATGAGTCATTTTAGATACCAGTTCAGTGTGTAAGGTGCTCAGTAGAGAAGTCTGATGGAGCTCAGGGAGGCATTGCCTAAAGGTAATAACTCTGGCCGTGGCAATGGGATGAGGCCTCTGGTAAAGTAGAGAAGAGCTTCTGGATATAGCGAACACAACAGGGCCAGGGAGGACCCCTCGGTGTTTGCAGTCCTTCAAGTCTATGATAAGTGTAACTGATAATCAAGACCCTTACTGATTGATTTAGTAATTAACATTTGGTACCAAGTGGAAACCTAGTTTATGTGAACTATACCTATCTGTGTCTTTTCACATGTGCTGCCTGCAGGGTGCACTCTCTGTGACCGAGCCTACCCGTCAGACTGCCCTGATCACGGACCAGTGACTTTTGTTCCTGATACACCAATAGAGAGCAGAGCAAGGCTGTCCCTCCCCAAGCAACTTGTTCTCCGCCCGTCCATTGTAGGGACAGAAATTGGTAAGAATATTGGAAGAGACCACATAATCCCTTGAGGTCTCCTTTCCTTATGGGCTAGAATTGTAAGTTAATTGTGTAATTAGTGACCAGGTGATGTAAAGTCAGTGGCTTACAATGTGCACTCTTATGGAATAGGTGACTTCCGATGGTGAGAACAGTAGAGCCTATGAACACCTAGGTGTGAAGCCACCCCTGCAAGTCAACTGAATGCAAGCAGAGCCTGGCCTGAGTCTTTCAGAGGCCTCTGTTCTCAGCTGTCCTGTCACTCACAACTAGCATAGCACCGTGTTTTTCAAGGCTTGTTTTTTATTAAAATATGGAAAATATACCTCTGACAGTCGTGTGGCCCAGAAGATAAGCAGAGTTTTTAAAAATATAGTTGTGTAGCACTCTAGGAAGGATCTAGACTATCAAGACACACTTATCCATATCTCAGTTTAACACAGCTTCTGAGTTAATGTGCCAACCCTTTGAAAATAGGAAATTAGGTTTATTTTCAGCTACAGCTCAGGCATGAATCTTGAAAGCACTAAACAGCTGAAGTAATAATCATGTGATACAGTAAGCATAAGAGATTTTAGAATAGAAGCTTGATTTATTTTCTGAAAATTGCTTTTTTTGGTAAAATGTTTTGTGGTCTCTTGCTTATTCTAAAATAATGAAAGGACGTAGGTTTTGTGTGTATACAGCAGGAATTTGATTTGTTTTTTCTGCATTTCAGTGTGTGTGTGCGCGCGCGCGTGCGCACGCGCGTGTGCACATATCTGCAAATACAGGTGAACACGTGCTGTGATACCCATGTGACGGTTAGAACAACTTTTGATAATGGGGTTCTGTGGGTGAAATGCCACAGGTCATCAGGCTTTCAGGACAAGTGCTTTCATCTACTGATTCATGTTTTTGGGTACTTTTGTCTGTTATTGTAGGCCCTTACCCACAAGTCTTAGCTGTCTAGAATGGTTGACACATCAGAAATTGATAGCTTTAGTGAAAGTGAGATCCTTGTGTGTGTTTAACTCCTGCCTCTGTGCTCCTATTAGTTTAAATCATTGTGTAGTTGGTGTCCTTCCTTTGATAGGTGTATGGACTGCAGAAACCATTCCTGTGCGGACTTGCTTCGGACCGCTAATTGGTCAGCAGAGCCACTCCATGGAAGTAGCAGAGTGGACAGACAAGGCAGTTCATCAAGTCTGGAAGGTCAGTGTTGAAGAAACCTATCTGGCTGTTGGCTGCTGCTGTAGCCCAAGCTGGCTTCTGTCTCTTGAGTCCTCCTCTTCAGCTTCTCTGATGTTGGGATAATGCCGTGCCACCATGTTCTGGTTTGTTTTTATTATTTTGTGATAGTTTAAAAAGGGACAAGTCAAAATCACCCAAGACTGAGAGTGCATTTACTTGTCCATTATTTTTTTATTGCAGTCTCTTATTTCTGGTATAAAAACTTTATAGCAGTGCATCAACTGTTGGACAAATAGGGGATAAACTGATAGAGTTTTCATTTTATGGATTAATGCAGTGATTGTGATCTCTTTAAAATATTTGTCTTTATTTTATATGTGTGGGGTTTTTGCATGAATCTGTGTGTACCACTTTGTGTAGTGCCTATAGAGGCCAGAAGAGGGTTTTGGGGCCCGTGGAACTGGAGGTAGACACAGTTATGAGCTTCCGTGTGGGAGTCAGGAACTGAATCAGAGCCTCTCCAAGAGTAGCTGGCACTCTTAACCACCAGGCTATCTTAGCCCTAATTTGAGTCATTTTATGTGATTTGATTTCTTAAATGTTTTTTTTTTTATTACTTCAATTTTAAATAGCTTTCTTCACATGTCAATCCCAGTTCCCTCTTTCTCCCCTCCTCCCGTACCCCCCACCCGACCTCCCCAGTCTCCCACCCTATCCCCACTTCCTTCCATATAGGGGATCTCCAGAGTCTGTCATTTTGCTTAGGGCAGGGTCCAGGCTGAGAGATCATCCTTCTTTGTGTTATGAACACATTTGTATGCCAGGGATAAATACTGATCTACTGCCCAGGGCCCCATAGGTTGCCCAGACCTCCTCACTGACTCTCACACTCAAGGGCTCTGAATCAGTCCCATGCTGGCCTCCCAGCTGTCGGTCTGGGGTCCAAGAGCTCCCCCCTGTTCAGATCAGCTGTCTCTGCTGGTTTCGCCAGCCTATTCTTTGCCAGTTTGCTCATCACTCCTTTCTTTATGTCACTGGGTTCCATGGATTCAGTTCAGTGTTTAACTGTGGATGTTTGCCTCTGCTTCCATCAGTCACTGGATGAAGGTTCTGGGATGGCATATAAGGTAGATGTCAAGTTCATTATCAGGAATGGGCATTTAAGGTGGTCTCTCCACTATTGCTTAGCTTGCCAGTTGGTGTCATCCTTTTAGATCGCTAGAGGTCTCACTGGTGCCAGATCTGTCTTCAAACCTGTGACTCCCTCTATTACGGTATTTCTCATCCTGTTCTCCCCCTATTCTACCCCCCCCACTCAATCTTCCTGTTCCCCATGACCTATTCTCTCTTCCTCTTCTCCCCCTCTCTTCTTCCCAGCTCCCACCCCCCCCCTCGCCGTGTTCCCAGTCTGTTCAGAAGATCTTGCCTCATTCCTCTTCTCTGGGGTACCATGCATATCTCTCTTAGGTTTTTTCCTGTTTCCCAGACTCTGTCAGTGGAGTTGCAGACTGGAACTATCCTGATCCATGTCTAAAATCCATATATGAGTGAATACATGTTTGTCTTTTTGTGACTGGGTTACCTCACTCAGGATGGTTTCTTCTAGTGCCATCCATTTGCCTGTGAATTTCAAGATTCCATTGTGTCCCCGTCCCCCCCCCCGCTGAGTAGTACTCCATTGTGTAAATGTACCACATTTTCTCTATCCACTCTTCAGTTGAGGGGCATCTAGGTTGCTTCCAGGTTCTGGCTATTACAAATAATGCTGTTGTGAACATAGTGGAACAGATATCCTTGTTGTATGAATTTGCATCTTTAGGATATATGCCTAAGAGTGGAATTGCTGAGTCTTGTGGTAGATTGATTCCCATTTGCCTGAGGAATCTCCATACTGATTTTCAAAGTGGGTGTACGAGTTGGCACTCCCACCAGCAGTGGAGGAGTGTTCCCCTCTCTCCACATCCTCTCCAGCATGAATTGTCTTTGGTGTTTTTGATTTTAGCGATTCTGACAGGAGTAACATGGTATCTCAGAGTTCTTTTGATTTGCATTTCCCTAATGGCTAAGGATGTTGAGCACTTTCTTAAGTGTCTTTCAGGCATTTTAGACTCCCCTATTGAGAATTCTCTATTTAGTTCTGTACCCCACTTTTTAATTGCATCCTTTGGTGTTTTGGAGACTTGCTTGAGTGAGTTCTTTGTAAATTTTGGAGATCAGCCCTCTGTCAGATGTGGAGTTAGTGAATATTTTTTCCCATTTTGTGGGCTGCCTTTTTGTCTTTTTTACTGTGTACTTTGCCTTACAAAAGCTTCTCAGTTTTAGGAGGTCCCATTTGTTAATTGTCGATCTCAGTGTCTGTGCTACTGGTGTTATGTTCAGGAAGCGGTCTCTTGTACCAGTTTGTTGAAGAATATCTCCCACTTTCTCTTCTAAGAGTTTCAGTGTGATTGGATTTATGTTGAGGTCTTTGATCCATTTGGACGTAAGTTTAGTGCAAGGCAATAGACATGGATCTATCTGCAGTCTTCTGCATGCCAATACCCAGTTATGCCAGCACCATTTGTTGAAGATGCTTTCTTTTTTCCATTGTATATTTTTAGCTTCTTTGTCAAAAATCAAGTGTACATAGGTGTGTGGGTTAAAATCAGGTTTTTCAATTCGGTTCCATTGGTCTACCTGTCTATTTTTGTGCCAATGCCAAGCTGTTTTCAGGACTATAGCTCTGTAATAGAGCTTGAAGTCAGGTATGGTGATGCCTCCTGAAATTTCTTTATTGTATAGGGTTGTTTTGGCTATTCTGGGTCTTTGTTTTTCTATATAAAGGTGAGTATTATTCTTTCAAGGTCTGTAAAGAATTGTGCCAGAATTTTGATAGGGATTGCATTGAATCTGTAGATTGCTTTTGGCAAGATTGTCATTTTTATTATGTTGACCCTACCAATCCAAGAGCATGGGAGATCTTTCCATTTTCTGGTATCCTCTTTGATTTCTTTCTTTAGAGACTCAAAGTTCTTAATATACAGATCTTTCACTTCCTTGGTTAACATTATCCCCAGATATTTGAAGCTGTTTATGGCTATTGTAAAGGGTGATTCGCTGATTTCTTTCTCAGCCACTTCATCATCTGTATATAATAGGGCCACTGATTTTTCTGAGTTAACCTTGTATCCTGCCACTTTGCTGAAGGTGTTTATCAGCTCTAGGAATTCCCTTGCAGAGTTTTTCGGGTCACTTATGTAAATTATCACATAATCTGCAAATAGTGAAAGCTTGACTTCTTCTTTTCCTATTTGTATCCCCTTGATCTCCTTTTGTTGTCTTATTGTTGTAGCTAGAACTTCTGGTACAATATTGAAGAGACATGGAGAGAGTGGACAGCCTTGTCATGTTCCTGATTTTAGAGGAATTGCCTTGATGTTCTCTCCATTTATTTTCACGTTAGCTGTTGGTTTCCTGAATATTGCTTTTATTATATTCCAGGTATGTTCCTGTTATCCCCGATCTCTCTAGGACCTTTATCATGAATGGGTGCTGGAATTTATCAAAGGCTTTTTCAGCATCTAGTGAGGTGATCATGTGGTTTTTCTTTTGCAGTTTGTTTATATGGTGGATTACATTGATAGATTTTCTAATGTTGAACCATCCCTGCATTCCTGGAATGAAGCCTACTTGATCATGGTGAATGATTTTTCTGATGTGTTTTTGAATCCGATTTGCTAGTATTTTATTGAGTATTTTTGCATCGATGTTCATGAGGGAAATTGGTCTATAGTTCTCTTTCTTAGTTGTGTCTTGGATACCAAGGTAATTGTAGCCTTGTAAAAAGAGTTTGGCAGTGAGCCTCCCGCTTCTATTGTGTGGAACACTTTGAGGAGTATTGGGATTAGCTCTTCTTTGAATTTCTGGTAGAATTCTGCACTGAAGCCATCTGGGACTGGGTGTTTTTTGATTGGGAGACTTTTGATGACTGCTTCTATTTCATTAAGGGTTATAGGTCTGTTTAGATTGTTTATCTGTTCTTGATTTAATTTTGGCAAGTGACATCTATCCAGGAAATTGTCCATTTCCTTTAAATTTTTGAATTTTGTGGAGTACAGGTTTTCAAAGTATGCCCTGATGATTCTCTGGATTTCCTCAGTGTCCGTTGTTATGTCCCCCTTTTCATTTCTGATTTTGTTAATTAGCATGCTTTCTTTCTGTCTTTTGGTTAATTTGGACAAAGGTTTGTTTATCTTGTTGATTTTTCTCAATGAACCAACTCTTTGTTTCATTGCAATGTTTTCCTGGTTTCTACTTGATTGATTTCAGCCCTCAATTTGATGATTTCCTGGCGTCTGCTCCTCCTGGGGGAGTTTGCTTCTTTTTGTTCTGGAGCATTCAGTTGGGTTATTAATTCTCTAGTGTGACTGTTCTCCAGTTTCTTCATGTGGGCACTTCACTTAGAGCTATGAACTTTCCTCCCAGCACTGCTTTCAGAGTGCCCCATAAGTTTATATATTGAATTCCAGGAAGTCTTTAATTTCTTTTTTTATTTCTTCCTTTACCCAGGGATGGTGCATTGTTCAATTTCCATGAGTTTGTAGGGTTTCTGCGATTTGTGTTATTGTTGAATTCTAATTTTAATGCATGGTGGTCTGATAGGATACTGAAGGTATATCCCTTTGTGTTTGGGTGGGATGTTCTATAGATGTCTGTTAAACCCAGTTGGGTCATAACTTCTATTAGTTCTTTTGTTTCTTCGTTAAGTTTCTGCCTGGAGGTCTTGTCCAATGGTGAGAGCGGAGTGTTATGTGCGATTTGAGCTTTAGTAATGTTTCATTCACGAATATGGGTGCCTTTGTATTTGGGGCATAGATGTTCAAAACTGAGACTTCATCTTGATGAACTTTTCCTTTGATGAATGTGAAATGTCCTTCTTCATCCCTTTGATTGATTTTAATTTGAAGTCTAATTTATTAGATATTAGGATTGCTACACCAGCTTGTTTCTTGGGTCCGTTTGATTGGAAAATCTTTTCCCAACCCTTTACTCTGAGGTAACGTCTGTCTTTGAAGTTGAGATGTGTTTCTTGTATACAGCAGAAAGATGGGTTCTGTCTTGGTATCCATTCTGCTAGTCTTTGTCTTTTTATAGGCAAGTTGAGACTGTTGACATTGAGGAATATTAATGACCATTGATTGATGATTCTTGTTTGTGCTTGATTTATTGGTAGTAGTGTTAATTGTGTGTAGGTTCTCTTCCCTTTTTCTTTGGTGTTTGGTAAAGTGGGATTATCTATTGCCTATGTCTTTGTGAGTGTAGTTACCTTCGTTGGGTCTAGGTTTTCCTTCCATCACTTTCTGTAGAGCTGGATTCATGGATACATATTGTTTAAATCTGGCTTTGTCATGGAATATTTTGTTTTCTCCATCTATGGTAATTGAAAGCTTTGCTGAATATAGTCTGGGCTGCCATCCTCATTCCCTTAGCATTTGTAGGACATCTGTCCAGGATCTTCTGGCTTTCATAGTTTCCATTGAGAAGTCGGGTGTAATTTGGATATGTCTGCCTTTATATGTTACTTGGCATTTTTCTTTAGCTGCTCTTAATATTTTCTCTTTATTCTGTAGGCTTGATGTTTTGATTATTATATGGCGAGGTGACTTCTTTTTCTGGTCCAGCCTATTTGGTGTTCTGTAAGATTCTTGTATTTTCATAGGCATATCCTTCTTTAGGTTAGAGAAGTTTTCTTCTATGATTTTGTTGAATATGTTTTCTGTACCTTTGAGCTGTATTTCCTTGCCTTCTTCTATTATTCTCAGGTTTGGCTTCTTCATGGTGTCTCATATTTCCTTGATATTTTGTGTTAGGGATTTGTTGGTTTTGAGATTTTCTTTGGTTGATGACTGTATATCCTCTAATGAGTCTTCAACACCTGAGATTCTCTCTTCTGCCTCTTGTATTCTATTGGTGATACTTACGTCTGCAGTTCCTGATTGTTTACCCAGCTTTTTTATTTCCAGTATCCCCTCATTCTGTGTTTTATTTATTGTTTCTATTTCAGTTTTCAATCCTTCAACTTTTTGAGTTGTTTCCTTCATTTGTTTGTTTTTTCTTGGTACTCTTTAGATTCTTTAAGAGATTTGTTTATTTCTTGAATTTTTTGGCTCGTCTTTTCGTCCATTTCATGTATTTTTTGTTTGTTTTTTCTTCTATTTCTTTAAGGGATTTCCTCGTTTCCTCTTTGAGGGTCTCTATCGTCTTCATAAAATTATATATATATATATTTTTTTTCATAACGTGCTTTCTTTTTTTAAAGATTTATTTATTACATATACACCAGGTTGAATTGTAGATGATTGTCAGCCACCATGTGGTTGCTGGGAATTGAACTCAGGACCTCTGGAAGAGCAGTCAGTGCTCTTAACCTGAGCCATCTCTCCAGCCCCTATATATATTATTTTTAAATTTAAATTAGAAACAAGTTTGCTTCACATGTCAATTCCAGGTCCCTCTCCGTTTCACTCCCCTCCTCCTGTGCCCTCCCACCAACCCCCCCCAATATCCCCTCATTTCCCCAAGGAGGGTGAGGCCCTCCATGGGGGTGTCCATAGTCTGTCATTTCATCCAGGGCAGGGCCTAGACCCTCCCCCAAGAGTTCAGGGTGAGAGTGCATCTCTCATTGTTGGATGGGAGTCCAAAGTCCATTTGTATACCCGGGATAAATACTGATCTACTACCCAAAGCTCAATAGATTGCCTAGGCCTCCTCACTGACACATTCAGGTGGTCTTGATCAGCCCCATGCTGGATTCCCAGGCATCAGTCTGGGATTCAAGAGCTGACCCTTGTTAGGTCAGCTGTTTCTTCTGCTTCATCTATGTAGTGCTTTTCAGGTCTTGCTGGCGTTGGTTCTCTAGATTCTGTTAGTCATGTTGGTCTTTCTATTGCTGAGTGAGCTCTTATTCTGTCTTCTTCCCATATCTTCTTCCAGTGGGTGCAGGTGGGGTCTTTCTGTCTCCACTATTCTTCTTTCCTGAAGCTGAAGCTGGAGAAGCTGGAGGGTGGGGTCTGGAAGGACTGATGCCTTTCCTGTGTGGGTGGGTCCTCTGGATGCCAGGAGCGGGGCCCCCCCCCCGAAGATTGAGGGAGTGGGGCCTGGGCGGGGGAGTGGTCCCAGGGGGACCCAAGCTCACCTGAAGCTAGGGATGCTAGAGGGTGTTGTCCTAGAACTCACTCTGGAGACCAATTGGCCTCAAACTCAGAGATCACTTGCCTCTGCCTCTTGAGTGCAGGGATTAAAGTCACATGGCATAAAAGTTATTTTTAATTAACTAAATTCTTTCTTTAAATATTTGGCTTAGGGAATAGTTGTAGAATCAGCTGCAATTATTTCTCTAGTTTCCTGATGGGAATATAAAGTTTTGACATCAGTAGCTATACTAGTAACATATTTACATAGAATCTTAAGGAATGATGAGTACAGAATTGAAACACGGAGACAGTGCATCATAGAGGCCTTTAATTTTGATGTCTGCCTGGAAAAGTGGGTGGGGGTGGTCCTCGCCCTTGGGAGACAGTCCTACTGTACCCATCTGGCTGTGTTGATAAAGACAGACAGACAGACAAAGGGTACTCAAGAATGATGTCATTCTAACGGAAGGGTTTCAGCTCACTTGGCATGTTTGCTTGCTTTCCGTTGGCAGATATACCATAACGGTGTCCTAGAACTCTGCATCATCACAGCTGATGAAAATGAGTGTAATTGGATGATGTTTGTGCGCAAGGCCAGGTAAGGGGGCATGTAGATAAGTAAGGGCTTGCTACCATCCCGCTAGGTGAGGGACGAGCTGGGATACTAGCTACCACCCTTGACATGCTTGAAGCCCAAGCCTTCTTCTCAGACTGGGTGACTGTAAAGCAGAGTATGTCTTTTTTTGATGAACATTTTCTTCAACTTCTGGTGCAATGAGGAATAATACATTCATCCACGAGTTTGCAAGTGAATGCCTCTTCAGGTCAGTGACAGTCTTTTTCAGGCTCTCACTTGAGTTCATTTGTTAGCTTCCTATCTTTGTATATTTGTCACAAAGAAATTTTAAGACTTCACGGGCATTGTGACTTATAACTATGATACCCAGTGCCCAGCACTTGGGAGCCTGAGGCAGGAGGATCTCTGCAAGTTCTAGGCCACTCTGGGCTACATAGCAAGTTCTAGGTTATCCTGAACACGATTGGGACCCTGTCTCAAAACAAACAGGAACACGTCATTTTATTTATCTTTGACATAGGATCTCATTATGTGCATGAGGCTGGCCTGGAACTTGGAGAAGCTCTCCTGTAATCAGCCCTGCTCAGCTGGGATTGCAGGTGTGAATTGCCCATGCCTACCTACATACTCATTTGCAGCTAGTGAAAGACTGGTGTTTCTGACTATAAAGGATAACCACCTGTATATCCAAGTAAGAATTACTGAAATGATAGAGAAAATAGTTTCATCTAAGCTTTCCTACTTGATTCCTCTATAGAGGTCATGACACATTTAGTGTATATATACGAATTACTATATTTGGGGTAGGAAATCTAGCTTATGGGTAGGATTGCTTGTCTAGATGTGCAGCACTGAATAAAAGTACCCTTAGCTAGGTGTGGTGTTGTACACCTGTACCCCTAGCTTTTGGGAGGAATGGAAAGTTAATTGAGGCCAGAAGTTTACAACCAGCCTCAGCAACATGAGATATGTTCTCTTACACTTGATGTATTGCATGTGATTATGTAGGAACCGTGAAGAACAGAATTTGGTGGCTTATCCCCATGATGGAAAAATCTATTTCTGTACCTCCCAAGACATCCCTCCTGAAAATGAGCTGCTTTTCTATTATAGCCGGGATTATGCCCAACAAATGGGTAAGTCTGTAAGACTTGTTATCATGTGCCTAGTGCTGTACTGTCAGTGACCAGGAAGAGAGCTTGGTAATGATTTTATTACAGCTACCTTTATTGTTTAATTAACAAATCAAGCTTGGGAGTCAGATTAGGGCTTGAATCTGATAGATTCACAGAGCGAGGGAGAAACAATAAGCCGGCTGGCCCCTCTTGTCCACCTTCCCCGATTGAAGACACGAGAATCTCTCCGAGTCCCTCCTTCTTTCTCTCTGGGTCTCCATCTGGGTCTCCCAGAAAACCCATATGGTTTCTTATGGCCAGCGGGATGTGGACTCCACCTCTATCAAGGCTTAAGTCCATTGGCAGTCTCAGAACAACAGTATAAACAAACCTCCTGCTACAGATTTTACACTAGTAGCTTTATGAAAGCAAGCTGTTAGCTTTGTGTGCAAGGTGACAGAAATCTCTAGTTCTTTCTTCGCTGGGTTAATGTTACTGTTTCAAATAAATAAGGTTTGTTGTAGGACTTTGAATCAGGGCTTGTAAATTCCCAAAACTGCCTTTTTGAACTTCTTTAAAGTTATCAAAATCCCTTAGGTTTGATTTACTGTGGTTTTTTTGTTTTTTTCCCATTTTCACTGTGTTATAGTTACAAGTCTGTGTAAGACACTTGAAAATGTAAATCTTTTCTCCAGGAAAAAGACCTTACTAACCATGTTTACCATGTGCTTTTGTGTGCACTGCTTTAGGTGACAGGAATGTGGCCCTAAACAAGGCATTTAATTTGAAGGCAGTGCGCAAATAAGACATTTTGGTAGGAGGGGGAATTCTTTGATGTCTTTTCGTCATTAGTAACTAATGTCAAGAATGATTTTCAAGTTAAAGTAGCGGGAGACACTGGTTTACCTTTTAAAGGTGTTCCTGAGCACCCGGATGTGCACCTCTGTAGTTGTGGGAAAGAGTGCCATTCCTACTCGGAGTTCAAAGCTCATCTCAGCAGCCACATCCACAGCCATCTGGCTGGCCAGGGCCCCGGCAGCAGCCCTGGGCCAGGCCCCAGCAAGGAGAGGAAGTGGAAGTGCTCCATGTGCCCCCAGGCCTTTGTGTCCCCTTCCAAGCTACACGTGCACTTCATGGGCCACATGGGCATGAAGCCCCACAAGTGTGACTTCTGCAGCAAGGCTTTCAGCGACCCAAGCAACCTGCGGACACACCTCAAAATACATACAGGTGAGCATGCAGGGTGACAGAGTATCCAGATGGCTGGAGGTGGGATGCCATTGGATGGTAAGCCTCATGAGGAGGAAACCTAAGGCTACTAAGGGTGTAACTTCAATTACAAAGGAGTGTAATGTGTAGCTTGAAGGAGCCAGGAAGAATTTAATTAGTAATCAGAAATTGCTCCCTGTGTTTCTATTTCAACCGAAGGGAGCCCATCAGAGTGTCCGAGCTCCCACTCTAAACTCTGTGTAAACCAGTCTCTTAAAGCATGATTCATTTGTATTTCATGTGTGTGCATATTTTGTCTGCATGTATGTGTATACCACTTTTATGCAGTGCCTGTGGTAGCCAGCAAAGGGCAGCACCCCTGGAACTCCAGTTCCCGATGGTTGTGAGCTGCCATAGGGTGCTGGGAACTGATCCCAGGCCCTCTGCGAGCGGAGTCAGTGAGCCACTGCTTCTAGCCATTGGCCCATCTCTGGCCCTTCAGTTTCCTCATACACACTACAAAATAACCAGTGAAGTTTTAGCTTTCTTGGTTGACTCATTTGTTCTACAAATCGCTAGAAGGAAGATTCCTCCTCAGTCCGTTTTATTAAGACTGGGTAGTTGGAGCAGCGACCATGTGTTCTCTAGAAGCTGATAAAACATTGACAATACCTTTTCTTTTTCTTTTCTCTCTCTTTTCCTCCCCTGGGACCCCCCCCCCCGTCTCAAGTTTTGCCAACCCCTTAAATATACTTGGAAAGATTTGATTTGATATCATCCGTGTAGGATCATATTGTGTTTTAAAGAGGGGGGAGGGGAAGGAAGGAAGGAAATTTTGAGGGGAAATACTGGCCCGTAGACATTTGCTATGGTTTTGTGAGTTGTTACCTCTGTTTTTGAAGTGAGTCTCAGCTCAGGTTAGCCTTGTACTTGCTGAAGATGACCTTGAAATTTCGTGTGTGTGTGTGTGTGTGTGTGTGTGTGTGTGTGTGTTGTTTTTGAGACAGGGTTGCTCTGTGTATCCCTTGGCTGTCCTGGAACTCACTGGCCTTCTTCTGCCTCCCAAGTGCTGAGGTTAAAGGAATGGGTTAGCACCGCCTTGACTTTCTGACCCTCCTTTATCCACTTCCCAGATGTTGGGCTCTGAGGCATGCACTGCCATACCTAGGTAATGTGGGGCTGGAAATTGAATCCAGGACTCTAGGTATGCTAGGCAGGCACTCTGTCACTGTTACGTTGCTAACTCCGTGTTCTTTTAAATTTGGTAGGCGCTGATATTATAATTTTTCTTCTTCAAAGTTAATACAATATGCTAACTGCAAACATGCATGTACTTAGGTAAATGTCTTAGGAGGTCATTCTGGCTTTGCCAGCTTCAGTTTAGGCTGTAAATGGAATGGCTTAGACTTTTCAGGTAGACAGTCTAGAGAATGAAGTGCCAGACATGAGTCAGTTCTGCTGAATTCTTGCTTGGGCTGCTTCTCCAAACATGCCTGCTTGTTTGAGAATCTGTAGTTGTTTTATTCTTAGTGTGATGTCTTGGGTTAATTTGCAGGTCAGAAGAATTATAGGTGTACTTTGTGTGACAAGTCTTTCACCCAGAAGGCTCATCTGGAGTCGCACATGGTCATCCATACGGGCGAGAAGAACCTCAAGTGTGATTACTGTGACAAGCTGTTCATGCGGAGGCAGGACCTCAAGCAGCACGTGCTCACCCACACACAGTAAGTGTCCTGCCTGCCGTGAGGACGCTGCCTGAGGGCTGTGCATTGCGTGTGCCTCCCTGTACCTGCCGTGATGCTCAGCCAGCTGCTCCATGTCCTTCAACAGGTTATTGCCTCCTGTGTCCCAGATAGCCAAGCAGTGTGTGGGTATTTTTGTGAAAGATTTCACTTCCCTGTTTGTGATCTTACTTTTACACATTTTTTGCATCAGTTTGTATCAATTTTTTTTTAATTTCACTTATAAGTTTTTAAATGACCTCTTGATGCTCAGTGTTTGCTAGGGGATAGAGACGCAGAGGTGAATGACAATTGTCTTACCCTCAGAGAGCTCCAAGTTCATGCTGTGTTGCAAGGGGTTTTGAAGACCATATGTAAATGCAGCACTTTAGCCTGATACAGCAGTATATTACAACCATGTCCACTCGGGAGACTGAGGCAGGCAGGCAGATTGTGAGTTAGAGGCCAGTCAGACAAAAATAAATGGGTGCTGGAGAGGTGGCTCGGTGGTTATGAGCACTGACTGCCCTTGCAGAAAGAAAATTGCATTATATTCCAAGGTCCCACATGAAGGCTCACAACTGTCCATAACTCCAATTCCAGGGGATCCAGCATGATCTTCTGGCCTTTGGGCACCAGGCAGGCAAGTGGTATAGAGATAAACATGCAGGCAAAACATTTGTACACATAAAATAAAACAAATCTTAAAAGGTTGGTAATGCAGCTAAGTAGTAGAGCAGTTGTTTTGTTTAAGGTGCTGAGGGTGTGTGTGTTGAAGTTGTTGTTAATAGAGAAATAATTGAACTTTTTAAGAGTTTAGTTTACCAATAGTAGTGTTATATATGTAGTTGTGCAAACCCTGAGGGACTTTAAGGAAAGGGTGTTATGTTTGGTGACAGCCTCTTAAAGACAATACCATGGACAGAGAGGGTAATTCAAGGGTTGTGGAGTTTCAAGGGATGCCAGGCAGGAGATTGCCTAGGCTTGTAATCTCGGTGTAAGAAATGGTCACTCTTGCATTAGTCATAGTGGTAATAGACAGATGTAACGTAGTTATGGTTTTGTTGTCCTAAGCTTTGAGCAAGTGTTAGAAGAGGGAGAATTCACTGTAAACTTTAGATTCTAAAGAATCTTTTGGGTTTTAGCTCTTTTGTCTGCTCTCTAATCACAGTATGACCAGAAACACTTCACAGCTGAGAGTCAGGATCTGCACTATAGTTCTCAGAGGGACTTCCTTCCTCCCTTCCTTCCTCCCTCCCTCCCTTCCTTCCTTCCTTCCTTCCTTCCTCCCTCCCTCCCTCCCTCCCTCCCTCCCTCCCTCCCTCCCTCCCTCCTTTCATTTGGAGATCAGAGGACAACTTGTGGATTCTGCCCTTCCTCCATGTGGGTCTTGGGGATTTAATTCAAGTTGTCAGGCTTCAGGCAAATGCCCTACTTTGTGAGCCATCTTCCTGGCCCTTTAAGGATCATTTTCAACAAAGTCTTCATTACTTTCATTGCTAGTGTGAAATTTTGGAAAATTAGACTAGTTATAAGGTATAAGTTGTATAGTGTGAGAGCTTGAAAGCTCTCTGGGTCATGGAAGTTCTCTAATCATGCAGCCATGGTCAACTGGGCATTGGGCACTTCGCAGAAGAGCCCACCATGGAATGCGCTGCTTTTCAGTGTCTCTGGCGGAGAGGGTGTTACTTCTTCTTGAATACCACAGTTCTGTCATTGTGTGGGGAAGGAAGTGTTGTTCCAGCTGAGCTTCTGCTCGCCTTGGTTTTCATTCTCGCATCTGTCCTTGTGAAGGTCAAACATGGTATGCTATGAATCACATCTAGAGTCCTCCACATGCTAGGCAAGTACCCTACCACTGAGCTACATCCCCAAGCCCTAACAGTTCTATAAAGCTTTTGATGTAATCTGTGGTCCCTTGTCATGTGTCCCTATAGCTCTCCTTTTATCGGGGCACATGTCTGTTTCTAGTCTCTGCAGCTAGTCCTGTTGGTTAGTTTCAAGTTTGGTCCTCCAGAAATGACACAGTATTTTTGATACAATCTATTTAGGGCTAGAGCTGTAGTTTTATGGTGCACACCAGCAGAGCTGTCATCATCTTTGACCTTGAAGATGGGTGAATCTTTTGACCCAAGTATATTTTTCCTGTATATATCCCCTTGGTATATATCAGAAAAACAGAAAAATAGAGAAATGTTCATTGCTTGTGAGGATATTAAACTGAAAGCCACCAGAATATTCACTAAGAACCAGAAAAGCCAGTTGCAGACTGTATAAATACTTGATATTAATGGAAAGGAACTATAGGTATTTGTACAACTTGAGTGAATTTCACAGACTTCATATTCAGTGAAAGAAATGTATACCGAATGGTCCTGTTTGCATAGTATTGTAGGAAGGGAAAGTCCCACAGAGGTGGTCTAGATGAGGGAGTGTGTGGTTTGTCGTGCACAGCCCCAAAGCAAATGTTCTTGTGTTCCTCTTAGAGAACGCCAGATCAAGTGTCCGAAGTGTGATAAACTGTTCTTGAGAACAAACCACTTGAAGAAGCATCTTAATTCCCATGAAGGAAAGCGAGATTATGTCTGTGAAAAATGTACAAAGGCTTATCTAACCAAGTACCATCTCACTCGCCACCTGAAGACCTGCAAAGGGCCCACCTCCAGTTCCTCAGCACAGGAGGACGACGACGACGACTCTGAAGATGATGATCTCACAGACTCCATGAGGACGGAGGACTGCAGGATGAATAGTGCTATTTACTCAGCAGATGAGTCTCTCTCCACACACAAATAAAAGGAAAACTGCTTTGGACGGGCCATGCATTGGGAAAACACAAAACCAGCTCACTGGAGGTTTAATGTGGACTGCTTCCTGATCTCTCCAGCCTACTGTCAAAAGTGGGCTGAGCAGGATAGCTACAGCACTTACGGAAGAATATCCAAATGGATTCTTTAAGATGGACTGGAGACGAGGCATGTGTCTGTCTTATTTTTAAGTAATGGTTGGCAAGGAAAGGGCCAGCTTTTGATGCCAGTTTACTCAGCAGATGAGTCTCTCTCCACACACAAATAAAAGGAAAACTGCTTTGGACGGGCCATGCATTGGGAAAACACAAAACCAGCTCACTGGAGGTTTAATGTGGACTGCTTCCTGATCTCTCCAGCCTACTGTCAAAAGTGGGCTGAGCAGGATAGCTACAGCACTTACGGAAGAATATCCAAATGGATTCTTTAAGATGGACTGGAGACGAGGCATGTGTCTGTCTTATTTTTAAGTAATGGTTGGCAAGGAAAGGGCCAGCTTTTGATGCCAGTTTTTACTTAGATAGTAATTTGGGAGATGTGTTTATGCCTGCCTGAGTCAGCGTGGCCTTTTCTTCATACAAATCAGGTTTATCTCACATTGTTCCATTTTTTTTTTTCCCTCCAGCCAACATGACTTGACCCCAGCCATCCCCACTGTTGACCACATATTATGTATGCACTGTTGTAAGGTATGCGTTTCACAGAGAGAATTGTAGCACAGCAGTGCAGGTATTCAGTGACTGTGATTCATTGTAAAAAACAAAGAAAGAAATAATACCTTCAGGGCCCTTGAGAGTTAAGATTCTGTTTCCCATCAGCAGGTGTTGGGGGCCCGTAAAGCTGTCATAGGTCAGAGCATAGTGATTGGTAGAGGACAAGGCCCTGAAAAGCACCTTCAGTGGAAGCCAAGGTTAGCCACCTGGTTATGTATACATGCACGTCTTTGCGGTCTAGCCATGTCTGTCTTTGGGAAAGCCTTTCCATCATTCAGAGAGTACCTGAAACTATCAGTGCCCAAATAGTGCCTGCTGGCTAGTCTCCTGTCAGCAAGTGCACATGGACTCCCCTGACAAGACTGGTACTTCAGCCTGTAGGAGGGAGGAAGGCAGTGAGCTTTTAAGTAGGTTTACTTTATGAAAACCATTAAAATGTTGCTCTCTGAAAGCAGCGTGTAGATCCAAATGCATTGGTGGGTTTCAGTTATGCTTTCCATTGTCTTCCTTGCTAAAGGTCCTCCTCACCAGCTGACTGTAGAGGACAGCAGAGGGTTTGGAAGACAGAGAAGGCTATCCGTCACCATTTGGGTCTGTTTTCAGGGCCCTGTGAGCAGGCATAGCCAGCTTTTGGCAAGAAGCAGAAGCATCCTGAAGTTGACAGGATTGATGGACATGTCTTCCTGCTCAAGGGTACAACCTTCCTTGGCTCGAGTAGAGGAAGGCCTCTGCGGGAAAGGTTTTGCTGCTGATGTATTTATAGGATGAATGTCTGTCATTCAAATCTGTATTCCTTTAGGAAGAATTAAATTTTTTTAATGAAAATATGGAATTTCTCAGTCATGTGGAGGAAGGACTCAAAGGTAAAAGAGAAGCAAGTTTTTAGCTCTGAAATCCTATCCTGATTGTTTCTATGTAATGGTACTTCGATAAACTACACTACTGGGAGTTGTGGCCTCTCCTGCCATCTTCCTAGGGCAGGGCCTTTATTGTCTCCTTGGAAACTAGCAGGTCTACAACTGAAGGCAGGTGCTGTGGGTGGTTAGGGGTAACTGCCTCGCCCATCACCATAAGCGCTCAAAGTAATTTGTCCCGTTTTTCAGGAGCATACATGTGATTAAACTCCTTTATTGCCCTGCACAGAGATGTTCCTCAAACTAGTTAAATAACCAAAAAACCAAAGCAAGAGGAAGGGCAGGAAACCCTTGCTAGGAGGGTGTAGCAGGTATTGTTTACAGTGTTGCTCCTGAGTTGAAGTGGCACCACCCTTTGACAGGACTTAGACCTATCTACTTAGTTGCAGCTCTTGTCCACTATTGCTGCTGGGCCAGCGGTCAAACGATCAGGAAGAGTATGGTAAATGTAAATGTGGGCTCAGTTGAAAGTTCTCTGGGATTTACTGTGGGATGATAGGTTGTGACCTTTACACAACCTAGTGAGCCCTTAAGTGTCACTGATGCTGTGTCTTATACATGCCTACATTTTTTTCATGTTAGTAAAGATCCTGAGATAAATTTCATACACAGTAGCCTAGCAAGTCCTAAGCACTGGAAGTTAGAATAGTTTTAATGCACTGAAGCCTGGAAACATCCATAATGCCTTATTATTTATGCTTGTGGTTCCTTAAGTGAATTACTCACACTTTTATGTGTGCTGAGCTGAGGTTCAGAGTGACCTTAGAGGCAGCATGTCATAGCCTGGGTCTTACCCGCCTTATTAGACCAGTGACCTGTGTAGAAATAGCATTATCCCATCAACCTCCTCCTGAGGAAACCACTCTGTATACACACAGCCAGGGTCTGAAGTCTGTCAGTTACACGATTTTACATTATCCCATCATCTGCCTCCTGAGGATGGCCGCTCCCTGGGTTTATATGGATTTAACTGTCTTTAACATTTAGTTGAAGTTAAAATGAGGTTCCCAAGTTGCAATGCAATGATTGGTGAACTTTCAGGAATAGCCAAGTTTGGGAAAGCACCTACGTAGAAGGAACACAATGGATGCCCGCAAGACAAGAGTTTCCTTCACTCACCACTAGACAAGAGTTTCCTTCACTCACCACTAGACAAGAGTTTCCTTCACTCACCACTAGCTGACTGCCAGTGTTCTAGCAACTGTCTAACCGTGTCTCCAGGGAGTGTGGAGGAGGAGCTTCCAGAACTCAGTCGTGAGCAGTGTGAAAGGCAGCTCTGCAGTGGCTTCTGTGGCCACCAGTGGATTATTTACCTAAGTGGGTGGGATGGCACCTGTGTGGCATTTTGTTGTTCCTAAGATTTTCTTTCATATGTATATATTTGGAGGGTCTTAGGCCATAGGACAGTGCCCCGCCCCCAACCCTGTAAGGCACTGACTGAGGTGGCACTGACTGAGGTGGCACTGAGGTGGTAATTTTAGCATTAAGGAGTCTAAGACAGGATGATTGGCCACAAGTTCAAGACAGCCTGGACTACAAGACACTGTTTTAAATCAAAAAGTGAAACAAAACACCAAAAACAGAACAAAGAACCATGTAAAGAGCCAGCATTATAGGAAGGATGAGAAAAAATTTATACAGAGTATTTTCTAGTACCAGCAAGATCTGGCTTCACATTTAGATTGCTTAAGGACTATGACACCCCAGGTGTCTAGCCAGCCTGTTAAACTCCTGGGTGATTCTGAAGCAGGTTAGGTATGAAGGAGCCCTGCATTATGACTGTTGCTGATAGATTAAGAATCTGTTCAGCATGTCACTAGGCTTTGCAACAGCACTGGGTACATTCACACAAACTCAGATTGCACAGACCATCTTTTAGTGTGGCCTCAGTGTAGTAAAAATAAACACAAGGTGGGAGACCATGGTGTAGCATAGCTGGTGGTTACAGTAACAAGTTACCAAGTATTACACACTATATTGTACATGCTGTACTGCTATATCAGGGCTTACACCAGCATCCCACAAAAGCGTGAGCAATGCTTTGTGCTAGAATGTTACATATCTGGACTGTAATTTGCCCATTATAGTCTATGGGACCACGTCATTGACTACATGCTACTGCAGGCATGTGTTAAAGTTTAGGAGCAGGGGCTAAAGGGTCCTATCAGAAGAGATAGGGAGTAAAGTGCACACTAAGCCTGGCTCAGTAAAGACAAATGAACTTTGAGAACAAACTCATTGGGTCTGGAAGATCAAGTCGTATGTGTGAAATACAGGATAGCATCTTGAACCAAGAAATTTAGTCTGAAGCTCAAAGCCAAAGCAATTACTAAGAAGGGAAGTATGTTACACCCTACTACAGTTTATTTCATCTTCACAGTAGCAGCTCTTACCAAAGCCTGACAGTAGTGAGGGTAACTCTTAAGACAGGATTGGACTTCAGTCAGACCTAGCGTGCATCCTGCACTCCCCATGGTCACAGCAGTCGCTGTGGTAAACACGTCTAACCTGGGGTTCTGTTCTCATTTTGGAAGTTTGTAACAATCATGCAAATTCTGATGAGACTTGAGCAATGCCTGGCATCTGAAAATACTGAGCACAAGTGAGGGGGGACTCTTAATGACAAATGGAATGTATTCAAAATAAGAGAATGTTTTATTCACTTTAAATATTAACATCATGAAACGTGGAAATCACTTTAGCCATTGGTGGAGTTTGAAAGGATTGGCTGTCCACCGAAAGAATAAGTGGGAAGTTGTCTCATGAGGCTAAGTGAAACAAACGGAACAGCGTACAATTTTTTCCTTGAGACGGGTTCTCTGTATAACAGCCCTGGTTGTCCAGGATCTCTGTGAGTGCTGGGATTAAAGACATGCGCAATCACCAACCGGCCAAAATTCTTAAATTTATACCTTTGAGTCCAGAGGACTTTATAAGTGTGACAAGTTTAAGAGGTTATGAAGTAACTAGAGGGAGAATTTACTGGAACCTTCTAGAACCAAAACTTATTCAGTATTGACAGTTCGTTGTCCATTTAGTAAAATATTTTTGATGATAGAAAATTCATATGAACTAATTTCTCAAAAATAGTTTTTAAATATTGGGGCAAAGAAAACATTCCCGAAAATATGTGGTTCATAACCAAAAGCATCTTAACAATTGGAATCACATTTTTAAAACAAAATGGGCTAGGGATACTGCTCAGTAACATACTCACTTTGTGACCACATGGGCCTGCATTCAATTCAATTCTAGAACCTAGCATGCATATTGTAATCCCAGCCTGGGAAGATGGAGACCAGTGGGTGCCTGAGCAGGCCAGGCTGGCTGGCCCTCAAACCCCAGGAATCTCCCTTCTCCCCAGTGCTGGGATAAGCACGAGCCACCACACCAGCCTGGCTAACACAGCAAGACCCAGTCTCCAAAACTCCTATGTCACCATACATTTTATAAATCTACAGTTCTAGGTCAGGTGGCATGTTCAAGGAATCATTTTTTAAAAACTTTTATTTTCAAGAAATGCAAGAACTGTACAACACCCAGATGAAGGCAAGCAGACAGAGGCTGTGGACTGCCACCAAAGCTGCAGAGTGGCAACAGGAACTGAATTGTGTTGTCATCATCGTATGGCTGCAGCTACACACGGAACATTTTTAGGCCAGCTTTTCAAAACCCCAAGTTCATATAAAATCCCAGGAGATTGTAACTTTCTCAGGACTCCATTGGTGTCTGTGGGCTCCCACTCCCGCAAGGACCACTAACAGACAAGCCTTTTGTGCTGCCAATAACCAGTCTCTCCCGTCTTCCAAAGGCTTCATTCACTAAAAGGAACCATGAGATAAGGAGGTAAGAGTCTATACCATAAAGGACTAGAGCATAAAACAATAAAGGTCTACTGTGAGGTGAAAACTCAGAAAATAACATTAATACTAAGTGAGAAAGGAGCCAACTTAGTAAGCCTGACCAGTCAATGTACCAAATGAGCGAATCTTTTCTTGTCATTTTGTGCTTCTCAGGCTCGTCCTAGAGCTTTCTAAATCTGCCTTGGAACATTGGTCTCCTACAGACTTTTCCCCCCCTCTGTATTATGTCCACACATATATAACCTATACATACTTCCTATCTATAAACTCACATCAGCAACCCAGACAAATCTTAGGATCCTAGTCATCATGGGAGGGAGAATTTAGTGGGACATACTGCCCATAGGACACACTAGACAACCTTAAGACAGTAGGAGCTGCTACTGTTGTGAGGTGGGGGGGCTTACAGAATAAGCACACTCGTGCACTCTGGCACCTGGGAAGAGAGAAGGCTCTTCCTTGAGACTGCTACATTTCCTTCCAGCTTTCCCAGGAACTTTCCATTTTAAGATATTTAAAAAGCAATTTGCACTTCTGAAGTAGGAAGCACAGGCTGCACACCACACGCGCCTTTGCCATCCACACAAGGCATTACATTCCCACCCTGTGCTGAGTCCTTAGGCTTTCAGGAAAGAGCAGGAGCCTGAAGGGTCTTACCCGAAGAGACAGTGCTTATGTCCCAAACTCGAAGCCCTTCTTTCTGACCTCCAAAGGCATAAACAAATGGCAAATCAGGACAGCATGAAGAACAGAAGAGAACTCCCTGGGGAGAGAGGAACTAGAAGTCAGCGATGTCCATCCTTGCAGAGTTAGAACTGGTAGGCCCCTACTCCTCCTCTCTAAGGACAGCGTTGATCTGTCACTCAAAGCTAGAAAGAACTGCATTATGGCTGCACCATGAAAATGGTCATGATCTCACTATGCAGGTCTCTCTCATTCTTGCTTTAGGAATTGCCTGCCTAATTTGCTGTGTACACACAGAAGCTTTATTCATCATTACAAACAATACTGACATCTGAGGTCACTATGAAGTCTTTTTCTTAAATGATCTTTCTGCACGTGTCTAGGCAGGTGCTCCTCCCAGAGCTGCATGCTCAGCCTCAAACATTAGCTAGCTTACGTGCTGGGGGGCATGTGCGCTCAGAGGACAACTTGCAGGGGCTGCTTCTCTCCTTGTAAAATGTGGTCATCAGGCTTGGCAGTAAGTCCCTCTGTCCAGCCCCCCTTATTAGTCAACTCTCAACATTCTCATTTCCCCTTAATTGATGAGTAAACTTTAACATTTTCATTTTTACTACCAGACATTAGAAATACGTATTATTGAAAGTATGAACAAGAAAACTATAAAACCCTTCAGTGAGATAATGTTTGTTATTCTGGATAATTACTGAAACAAGTATTCATTTATATATAAGCTCAGGATGAAACTACAAAACTTCAGGTCTGCCTTTCAATAATACACTAAGTGAATAGACACACGGACGGCTTTTAATAGCTGTGATGTTCTTTCTACTGTACTGCTAATGGTACTCATGTAACTCAGTGCTCCTGCACAGCAATATTCCCTGTCTGTCAAAAGAATACTACTTATTCTAGAATGTTTTGCTCATATATATATAAATAAAATCAACTTCAATGTACTAAATAAAGAGCCACCAATAGCTTAAAGTGCCCAAAGTTCTGAGATTTCCTGAGTTAAGGATAAGCTGTGGCTACTTCCTTATGTCTTTTCTCCATTCTTCTTAATCCTATCAAGTGACTATTAAGCTTGTGAATCGGAAAAGAGTTCCGATAGAAACTGAATTCTTTAAAAGTCTCTAAGTTAGAAACTCCCACCAAACCTGACTCTCTCAAAATTAACTCAACACATCCTTGACTGCAGTGGTTGCTGGGAAAAACCAAGCAAATAGGTCAGAAACACAGTCAGACTGTCAGGGAGATAGATGTTCACCATTTTCATGTCTCTAGAATGAACGAGGCTTGGCTTGTCCCCTAGGATGTCCCAGATCTTCACATATCTGTCTGCTGAAGCAGTCACGAGGCAGCCCTTGACTTGACTGCTCAGATCAAGACCTGGAAGACAAGATTAGTTCAGGAGCTACTGCCTGAAATTTAGATTTATTTTGTTATATTTAATGAGCTTGAAAGAAACATCTGTTGCTCACCAGAGATCTCATCGTTGTGTGCATTAAGTGTAAAGATTGGCTTATCTGAACGTGCATCCAGATTATACACAAAGCCGTCATCTGTACTGGCCTGCAGAGTAAAAGACGGGCAAGATCATGTTATACGACGGTAAAACTTAGCAACGGAGAGGTGTGCATATGACTCACAGGAAAGGTCTGTCTGTAGAAGCTACTGCAAATTGAAACTAGACATAAGAACTTTTGTATGAGCTATGTTCACGAAGCAGGAGAGCAGGGTTAGAGCCATGGGGACGGAGGTGGCAGTCACTGCACACACAGCACAGAAGGAACACCTGGGTGGAGCGTGCCTAGCAGTGTTGCCTAGCACGTCTGCTGCAGCTGTGAGCTGAGGGACACAGGAGGCCAGGCACAGGGGAAGGGGGACGATGTCGGGAGCCAATAAGGAACTTAAGAGGAACGGTGCCACAGCAGGGGCTGACAGTCAGGTGTCTGACTCTCAAGACCTGGAGCAAAGGAAGATGGGAGACAGATGTGAAGCTCTATACAGGCATAGGGCACACCAGCACAGGGAATGCTAGACGTAGGACCAAAACTCCCAGCACTCTCTAACTGTAGTTCTAGGGGATCTGATGCCATCTTCTGGCCTCCATGGGCACTGCATACACATGGTATACTTACACATACACAGAGGCAAAATGAGATAAAATGACAAACCAGAAAAAAGCCTTCAAAATCCTCTATGCAGAAGCTGGACTCAGGTGTGGACGTAGTTACGATGCATTAGTCTCACGTACCCCAGGTGAAATGACCAGGCATCTCTACTGGGGTCATGACAGTACTGGCTCCTGTACAGACTGTGCCAGTGATTCTTAATCCAGTTCCTGACCCGGGAGCCGCCAGTAGAGCTGGCACAGACTCTGTTTTGAACTACTTTACTGGTACTCCAGGAGGCCTTTTAACTTCACACTACTGTTCCCAGAGGTCCCCATTGAGTAAAACATCCTGCTACTGGTAAAGTTCTCTTTCCTTCAGAAAAACTACACTCAAATGTTTACAATTCATAAAACGATCTTATGGAAACAAATAACCTCAGAAACACAGAAAGCTTAATTTCTTAAAAAGTTGTTCCAAAACTGAAGTGTTTTTTTTTTTACTCAATTTCCTAATTAGCTGGGATGGGAATTAGCTGGGATGGGAACATTTGCAGTTAGCACCTGAAGAAGTTGTGATACACTGCTATACTCTCTGGAGGCTGAGCAGGGGAATCGTGCCTTTGAGGCCAGCCTGGGATACACAGCACACTGCGTCCCAGGGTGGAAGGGAAAAAGAGCCAGTATGGGCTGAATACACTTGGAAACGGCAATCCTATTTACTGACCAACTTTTTGTGTTTCTTGATTGGGGTGGTTATAAATTGGGAAGATAGTTCTATGTTGTACAGCCAAGAATACTTAAAAGCATGTAGATTAAATTTCATTATTTTCCCATAAACATGACTGTACACTAATGTTGCCTAAATATACTGCAAGGCACAGCTTGATTAAAATGCATGTGTTTATAAGTTGTATTTTCATAGAAACATGGGCATTTAACATTACTGTCACTTTTGCTTTCCTGTATACCAGAGGCTTCCTATTCATGTTTATATGAAAGCATAGACACATAAACTGTAAGTCTGCAAACTGAAAGCAAACAGAACCAGTTTATTTTTAAAGGAGACAACAGGACTCATGAAATATTAAAAACAAAAAGGGAAATGCAGAGCAGGGAATACTGAGGGCAAAGAGCGACACTGAGAGAAACAAGACGGTGGGGGGGGCATGGAAGGGAATGAGGGTCAACCAAAATGAGTCTAAATGAAAATGCCACAAAGCAGCCAGGCAGTGATGGCGCGCACACCCTTAATCCCAGCACTTGGGAGACAGAGGCAGGAGGATCTCTGAGCTTGAAGCCAGCCTAGTCTGCAGAGAGAGTTCCAAGATAGTCAAGGCAACACAAAGAAACCTTGTCTCAAAAAACAAAAAGCAAACAAAAAGGAAATGCCACAAAGGAACCTATTCATTCGTATGTTAATTCAGGGTTAGGGTTAGGGTTAGGGTTAGGAACCTATTAATTTGTATGCTAATTAAAAGGAAATGCCTCTACAAAGTGAGTTCCAGGACAGCCTCCAAAGCCACAGAGAAACCCTGTCTCGAAAAACCAAAAAAAAATAAAAATAAAAATAAATAAATAAAAAAAATAAAAAATACATAAAAATAAAAGGAAATGCCACAAAGGAACCTATTCATTCGTATGCTAATTAAAAGGCAAACACCTCCCTTCTTTGAACAGCACCCTCTTTCAGAACACACAGCTCTATGGACTGCAACACTAGACTTTATTTCTCTTTGGTTGATGTTAATGGAATCTTTGGAAAGTTTTTACTTTCTTCTCATTTGGTAGGCAGTGCTATTAATCGTCTCTCGAGTTCCATTTACATGTAAGGATTTAAGTAAGCATCTTTTGGACTGATTTACCCATTGAAAAACACAAGAAATAGAAGCAGGAGGATTTACAAGTTCAACGCCAGCCTGGGCTACACATATCGTATCTCAAAATCTTGGAACAGAATATTATGATGCTTGATATTTCAAAAACACTAGTATGTAGTAAAATGGTTTGAAATGTAAAAATAATATGTAGCACACTGGAATAGTTGAAAATTAGCTAAGTCATTCACAAGCTACCAATTTTTTTGTAGTTATGTCATTGTGTTAAGAAACATACTCTTTTCAATTCTAAGACCCCGAAGCTTCACACTTCTAAACAGAGAAAATGCTTTCCTGTGACTCTCTTATTATAGGAAATAGAAAAAACCTGAAAAAGCAATGTACATATTCTTACCAAAAAATGACACGGTGAGAAGTGGTTCCAGGTCACTCTCTCGATCTGCCCACTGAACCGCCACAGGCGATGGTTCTCGTTGGGATTCCGGCAGTCATACAGAGCCACTGACCTGCACACACAGCAGGCCAGGTTAGCACTAGATGTATGTTAGTGACATGCTGGGAGAGCAACCCTGGAGCTGGAATTAGGGCGGCTGTGAGCCATCTGGTGTAGGTGGTGGGAATGAACTTCAGTTCTCTGCAGGGACCAAGTTCTCCTGAGGACTAGACTCCAGCCCACTAGACTCTCCACTTTCTATTTTGGATTTATTTATGTTTATGTACATGAGAGCTTTGCCTGCATGGATGTATGTGTAGCACATGTGTGTGACTGCCCATGAAGGCCAAAGGGGGCACCAGATCCCCTGGAACTGGAGTTAGAGATAGTTGTGAGTTGTGTGGGTGCTGGGAGCCTAACCAGGATCCTCTGAAAGAACAAAACGTGTTCTTAAGCACGGAGCCATTTGTTCAGCTCCAAGAGTTGGATTTCACTGGTGGACTCTGGTTTTGTATTGAAGGTGATGGCTCTAACTGGAGTCCCAAAGTCCTGGGCAATTCATATTTCCTTTTCCTAGGTAGGGCTCAGAGCCATGTAGCTCAGGCTGGTCTCTAGTCAGGTTATTGTGCTTGGGCAGCTAAGAGACAGTCTTATAATTTTCTACAAGTCACACTAGTAGAAATCTAGTAGATCACTGTATCTAGAGTAAACATTAAAATGAAATAGTTGTTCTCAGTGTCTACAGGAGACATCGGAATGAATACTTGTTTTCTAGAAGTACTCAGACCTTGAAGAAATCATTATGGAAAACAGTGATTGTTTTCTGTTATCAGAGTTGTTTTGAGGAAGGAGCTTTTCAGCCTCTGTATGACTTTGCTCACAGGATGATCCTGGCACCCCCAGAGCATCCTGAATTATTGTATACCACAAACAGTACAGAAGCACTAAAGGTCCTTCAGAAAACTGATAGCCCCCAAAACAACTCGTGTGTAACAACCAATAAATGAGCCTTTGCATAGCTGTCTGAGGTTCAGTTCACAGAAACTGTTTCTTCCTGTTGCCAGAGATCCTAAAACTACATTCTGGAGTGTTCCTCTTTCTTTGACTGACCTGACATCCCATTTAAAAACCAAACAAACTCATGTAAAGGCTAAGGAATCAGAACAAAGACTGCTGGCTGGTCTTGTTCTACTAGCCACCCCTCCCCTCAGATGCAGTCTGTAAAAAGGAGAGCCTGTGTCTGGGGCTCTTGCAGCTAACTGTAGTAGCTCCGATCACATTCCAATGAATTAGTTTCTCCTATGCCCATGGCTTCTGCCATGCCAAGTGTGGCTGCTCCCCACGGAAGAAGATCCCACCCTCCGCTCCATGTAGCAGGTTTCATGGTGGGAAAAGTGTACTAGCTCTCACCAGGTCTCCTAAGGCCTTGGTATCTCTGCCTTTGGAGAATCAAGTGTCTCTGTTTGCCTAATCAAGCCATTGTGAGCAGTTACCAGCCCAACTCAGTCTACATGAGCAGAATCTCCTATGGCGTAAGAAAGAAATGGTTGTCTTAAGTCACCAAGTTTGGGATTGCTTATATCACAAAATGGCTAACTCATGCATACATTCTTTAAAAACCAGAGAAGTTGCTAGTTCCTGTAGTTAGATTACTATGACAAAACTACATTTCCTTTTAGAGGGAATGAAGGGTCAGGTTTGAAAAGCAGCACTAATAATTTACACACACAGCTACCTCAGGAACACAGCCTGACTAAGCATCATATGGCGCCTGTCCTGTCTTGGTATGGGTGCAGACAGGTCTTAAACATACTGGGCAATAACCCTTCTGAACCACCCCACCCCACCCCAGGCCAGGCACTTTAGATTAAACATAATGCAGTAGGGAGAAGAAGTGCTTCCTTACTTATCATATGACCCAGAAATCAGAGTTTGTGCTTCAAATGGATGAAACTGCAGAGTCTGCACCTAAAGGGAAGAAGAAGAGAGATCTATTCTTACCCACTAGGAGGAACACTGCTACTGTGTGGGGAGTAGACCCAACAGGCAGTGTTTCTATGTAGTCCCCTCTTTGAAATTCCAATACTGCGTAGTCTATGGGGGTTTGCTGTGGTTTGTTTTTTGGGAAGGGTCTCACTACGTAGGCCTGGCTGGTCTGAAACTTGCTATATAGACCAGACTGGCCTCATGACCTTGAACTCAAGAGTTTCATCTGTTTTTGCCTCCTGACTGCTGGGATTAAAGGTGTGAGGCATCTTGCGTGGTCAGGAAATTAGTTACTAAATACTCAAAAAGGGAAACCATATATTCAAATGAAGGCTAGCACTTAAGGAACAAGAGCAGCTCTCAAACCCTGTGATGGGATTAGTTACACCCTCAGAAGGAAGGGGAGGAAAGGAGCATGGGCGGGCGAGTGCACAGGCCTCAGAGTGCAACCGTTTTTAGCACTCAGCAGCTGAGCAGAGCTCTGGAGCTACACATCTGCCGCATTATCTCATTGCTACTGTTGTAACTGACACCTCCTCACACCCTGGAACCTCCGTGCACATGTCACAGGGCATCCATGGTCCTGCTTCTGTAAGAGGAGAGGACTGCATGTCATAGGGAGGGCTCTGTAAACCTCAGTGCTGTAACTGTTGAAAGCACTTTGTAAGTCATAAAGCCATATACAAAGTACAGATTACTTAACCAATAATCTGCCAGACTGTTTAAAAGCCCTTATCCACTAAGTCATCATACCTTGTCTGTTTGTGCTGTGAGCCTGGCTGCTGGCTTCCCCACAGTCATATCCCAGAGAATTACAGTGCTGTCTGCTGACGCACTTGCCAGCACATTTCTGAGAAAGGGAAGAAAAAAAGTAGAGAAATCGTCTTTAAAAACAAAACATTAAATATGAGGGGGTTCACTTATAGTCAAAGTGGTAAAAGATTAGGAATTTAAAAAAACAAAGCTTAGGACTTATATTGTGGCCAGGCGATGGTGGCGCACACTTTTATTCCCAACACTTGGGAGGCAGAGGCAGGCGGATCTCTGTGAATTCAAGACCAGCCTGGTCTACAAGAGCTAGTTCCAGAACAGCCTCCAAAGTCACAAAGAAACCTTGTTTCAAAAAAACCAAAAAAATGAGGCTGGCTAGATGGCTCAGAGGTTAAGAGCCCTGGCTGCTCTTCAAGAGGTCCTGAGTTCAATTCCCAGCAGCCACGTGGTGGCTCACATGGTTATCTGCAATGAGATCTGGCGCCCTCTTCTGGCTTGCAGGTGTACATGGAGGCAGAGCGCTGTATACATAATTAATAAATAAATAAAAATCTTTAAAAAAAAAAAAGACTTGCTGGACGTTGGTGGCGCACGCCTTTAATCCCAGCACTCGGGAGGCAGAGGCAGGCGGATCTCTGTGAGTTCGAGGCCAGCCTGGTCTACAAGAGCTAGTTCCAGGACAGCCTCCAAAGCCACAGAGAAACCCTGTCTCGAAAAACCAAAAAAAAAAAAAGAAAAGAAAAAGAAAGTAGTACGGGAAGATGTAATATTGTTGAAAGGGACATAGCACCTACAGGCTTAGGTTCGGCTACACATGACAGACTCAACCCCCCTCTGCTCAAAAGCTTGCTTCAGTACAAAGTGGCAAGCTAATTCTGAGACGGTATGCCCATACAAGGGACCCATAAACTAAACTGAGACACACACGGTTCTCAATTAAAGTCAAGACTATCACAAAACAGACAGACCTATAGACTGACCAAACAGGAAAATTTCAGAAAATATATTTTCTTGTGAGCCACTGGATGTGGGCGCTAAGAACCAACTCAGGTCCTCTGTAAGAGCAGTGAATGCTCTGAACCAGCGAGCCACCTCTCTGTCCCGCGGTGTTTTCTTTTTCTGAGACAGGGTTCCTGTGTAGTCCTGGCTGTTCTGGAACTCAGAGATCTTCGCCTCTGCCTCTGGGATTAAAGGTGTGCCCCACCCCCTGGCTGCTCCCCAGGTTTGTAAAGGGCACCTGTGGAAAGCCTGCTAGGGGGTGTGGGTGCAGCAATAGCACAGCCCTGCCTGGAGTGCTGCAGGGGAGCGAGGGGCACGCAGGTTCAAGCCCAGGAGGTGGCCAGTGGCGGCAGGGACCACAACAGTTTACATCATATTTACACCATCTGTTTACCTGACTGTCTTATTCCAGGAAAGGTCAAGGACAGCATCAGAATGCCCTTCTGCTGAGGAACTCTGCAATAATTATCTTAATTATTATTTTGTATTAAATGTAACCCATTACAAACTGTCTTTCTATTAACTTTAACATGGTAAATATTCCTTTCAGAAAGAAACTATAGCAACCCATGATCTATCAACACTGCCTTTCACCTCCAAACTTACTTTAATAGTACAGATGTTTGGAACTCATCACAAGAGCAGCTAAACAGAAACTTCAAAACTAGTGTTTAGTAGAATGGCTACTCTACAAGAAGGTGCAGCACCCCAATCATCTCTGCTGTTATATTACATGCCAACAAGTTTCATGCAACCAGAAAACACCTGGGCTCTCTGAAATTAGAAATTACGTTAACTTGTAACTTCCTGTTTTGTTCTACCAAAACTCTGCAAAAATATACGTTCTTATACCTTCCTCTCTAGTAACTTAACCCAGTTTGTCTTTTAATGTCTACTCCTCTTTACCTTCTTTCCTTTCTTCTTCTTCTTTTTTGAGAGCTTATTTCCCAGTGTGAAGACTGGCTCTAGAGAGTCCACTATGTCCAGGTCCCACACCTCAATAACAGGCGTCATGTTTCCCACAGCAATATAGTTTCCTATGCAAACAAACAGTGCACTGTCGATTATAAAGCGAACACCAAGCCTGCCAGTCTGGTGCATGACACTGTGGAGGACATGAGCACTGCTTCTCAAACCCCTGCGTCATCATCTTGGAACCCTGCCGTCCTAACAACTCCCCTGCCATGGCTGAGCTCAGGTTTGAGAGCTGTAATCCTAGTAACAAAGGCTCAGTCCTGTGACCCCAGCTATGAAATTTACTGCAGTTGAGCGACACCTCTCGTCTTTTTAATCCATCGACTGCTGCAGGGATGAGGATCAAGTCAGACTGTGAGCACAAATAATCCTTGCAAATACGATAAAGCCATCAGTATTAGTGTTTACTGAGAAACATCAACAGGGTAGCTAAGGGTGTGCAGATATGGCTGAAAGGGCCACCACAGAAGCTACTTAATCGGGACAAGGGTTTTTGTTTTGCTTATCTGCTTTTCTTTTCTAAGACCAGGTCTCACTTTATAGTCCAGGCTGGCCCCAGCTCCCACTACCATTCCATAACTGGCTCATTTGAGTGTTTTCTGAGACAGGGTAGATCCCTAAATTGCAGCTGGTAACATGAGACCACTTTACACTGGGTGTTCATGAGATCCAACGGTGCCATAATCAAAAGAGCTTTCAGAAAATATCTTTCAGCCCTCAGTGTAGCAGCTCATCTAAACTCTGGAGGCACACAGACCCCAAAAGATTAAGTGACATTACACTAGGAATGACAGAAGCACCACTTCATAAACTATCACCAACAAGTCTGACCCATGCAGAACAAACAAGTTTCCCAATTACCAGAGGAAGCATCTGGGCTAGGATCAAAGTTCAGCCATTCCACACTGAGAGGGTATGCGGACAGGAGTATGTCGTGGTGGACATAGAAAGATTCCTCCTCTTGATTGTAGACTGGAAGGATTGGGAAGAGAGACTGCAGTGAATTAGAGACTTCAGAAAGCACAACTACCCACCTCCCAACAACACTCTGCCATAGAAAGTCTGTCTGTCCAGTCTGATGCATTCTCATCTCCTGGCATTTTCTATGAACACTGCCAGCCAGGTAAATGGTTTTGTCACTTACTTCCTTCATAACAAAAAACACTCTACAAGGAGGACTGACATTATCTGCTAAAGATCTAGCTGATTTTATGTCCCAAAGAGCAAAAATAACATTGGAAAAAAATAATTGTATTTAGAAATTTAAACGCCTACCAAAAATTATTCCAATATTTCAGGAGTTTATGAAGACTAATGATGTAGACCAGCACCCTTTCAAATATGGCAGGGGTAGTTCTTTAACAGTCATATCCGTCGAGGTAAGGGGCACAACCACATCACCAGGAAGTACACAGAGTGATGGCAAGAGTCCTACAAGCAAGTTCCATGTGCCCCGTGTCCTTTAACAGGCTCTTTACTGAGGAAGAAGTAAGTGAGAAATAAGCTAAGGCTCTTTGTTTTATTTATTTAAATTCTCTAACCTCTGATTATGGGACAGACTCTGGACTGGGAAATGTCACATCAAGTTCAATCACATTAGCCCCTGCTGAGAAGGCATGGCCCTGCAAAAACACTAGCTGCCACCAATGTGCTTGGCTCACATTGTAAATTAAACTGCTGATGACACAATCATCTCAGATGTGCGTGCATAAAAACCAATTTCAAATGCTAATAAAATTAGTTTCTTGTTTTTTTGGAGACAGGGTTTCTCTGTATTGTTTTGGAGGCTGTCCTGGATGGAACTTGCTCAGTAGACAAGGCTGGCCTCAAACTCACAGAGATCCATCTAACTCTGCCTCCCGAGTGCTGGGATTAAAGGCATGCACCACCAACGCCTGGCTAAAAATTACAGTTTCTTAAATGACAGTTTTGTTTTGAGGCAGAATCTTGCTGTTTGGCCAGGCTGGCCTCTAACTTGCATGGTTTCTCTTGTCTCAGACTCCCAAATGCTGGAAGACAGGTCTGCACCACCACTCCCAGCGGTTTGGTCTAAAACAAAAATTAACCCACATTGTTCTTGGCTAACACATAGAAAAGTTTAAAACATCAGGAGTTAGAACAACTTCTTATTATCTATGCCACTGAAAGCCTTATTTTAGAAAAATTTCAAATATTGATAGAACAATGTCCTAATTGTAGGCTTCCTATAGGCCAGTGGTTCTCAACCTGTGGGCTGCGACCTCTTGAGGGGGGGATGTCAAACGACCCTTTCACAGGGCTCACCTAATACCACTGGAAAAGAGATATCTACATTATGATTCATAACAGCAAAATTACCACAACATGAGGAACTGTATTAAAGGGTTGCTGCGCTAGGAAGGTTGAGAACCACTGCTCTGGACAGCTTTGAAGGCCCTTAGGAGTTACAGAAATCCAAGCTAAGAGGGCTGGCAAGACTGCTGACTGGTATTTGTCTAAATTTAATCACCAGGACCCACATGGAGGAAAGAAAGAACGAATTCCCTATGTTGTCCTCTGATAATACACTGTGTGTGTGTGTGTGTGTGCGTGCGTGTGTGCGTGCGTGCGTGTGTGTGTGTATCTCGGGTGCAGCAACATGGCTCAGGCAGTAAAAGTTCTTGCTGTCTGCCACGAAAGCCTGAGTTCCATAAAGCAGAGGGAATGAAGCGAGGGCAGAAGTGGGCGGGACACTCAGGGCAGTGCTCACTTAGCATGCTAAACCAAGACACCTAGGCTTGACACCAAGTTCTAGGGAAAACAAGACCCCGAAACAAAACCCCACAAAGAAATGTGACTAGTGAAGTCACTAGAAGAGGCTAATAAGCACCGAGCCTCAAGGTTCTACTTCTTTAACGTGTGAATGTGTCTCCACCCAGCCACCGCCGCTGCTTCAGTTCCTAGGCTGACAAGCAAGGACGGACTGAGGGAGAGTGTCAGGTCAAGTGGACTGCTCGGGAGTAAGTCCTTAGAGCAAGGACAGAAGAAAGAACAGAGGAAAACACGGGGGCAAAGCATCCCAAAACAAAACGTATTTCACACTAAAAACCCAAAGTCCAGTAAGTTATTTAGTGTTAATTAAAAATATCTGCTATAGGTCTAGTGATGGAGCTGTGTGCCTGTCTGGTATGGAGTTATGAGTCATCCCAACACTGAAAAAAAGCCAATTAAAACTTTTCTAAGCAGCCGGGCGGTGGTGGCGCACACCTCTAATCCCAGCACTTGGGAGGCAGAGGCAGGCGGATCTCTGTGAGTTCGAGGCTGGGCTGGACCGATAGTCTCCAAAACAATACAGAGAAACCCTGTCTCATAAAAACAAAACAAAAAAATTTTCTAAGCAGATAACCTTAGAGCCTTCCCTCTGGCTTAGGTGCAGCTGTTTCCTGAACTGACAAAAGGGACCAAGATACTTTCGTGAAAAAGAGCATGGTGCTTTGGGAACAGAGAGGAATAAGTAAGTGGTTAGGACAGCACTTGCTGACCCTCTAGAGGGCCCTGGTTCAGTTCCTAGCACCCATGTGGTGGCTATCAACCATTTGTAAAAAGCCCAGTTCCAAGGGATTGGATGCCCTCTTCTGGCTTCTATGGACATTGGGTACACATACATACATATACAGGCAATCATATAAAATAAACATACATATATATATATACATATATATGTATACATATACATATATATATATATGGTAGCTCTGTGGCGAATAAGGAAGAAAATAAAATGTTCTGCAAAGGGAACTATTACAAATAGCTTTTAAAAAATGCTGGACAAGTCACTTGTTACTTTTGCAGAGGTCCTGGATCTAATTCCCAACATTCACATGGTTGCTCACAACCATCTGTAACTCCAGTTCCAGGGGTCTAACACTCTCTTCTGGTTTCCCTGGGGACCAAATGTGGACATGGCACATACTTCCATTCAGGCAAAATGCTCAGACACAAATAAAGAAATAAAAACAAAAACCCCTTCTCCAAGGGACCTATTTCTATAGACATTAAAAGAAAAAGACACGTCCGACTACACATTCCTAACATAACCTGCACAGGATGTGGTGTAAACCTGACCTGTGTCACAACTCAACCGAGGTGAAGCAGGACCTGGCCTCTCGAGTTGCAGTGGTGGCCAGTGCAGCGTCTCACCCCACACGGAGCACTTCTTGGTGGGGCACCCCTCTACTCACCATGCACCTCTAAATTGCATTGCTCCTGTTCGGCACGGCCACAAATGATGAAGTTGTCAGTGGGTTTAATCAAGAAATCTTCATGCTCATAGTGTTCCTAAGGGTGGAAAGAGATCGTCACTGGCCAGAGGCAGAGATTTAATTAGGTTTTCAAAGCCTAGGACCAATGTGAAAACTGGTGTGTCTAGATATGTACCGTATCTTTCAGGGTGACATACGGGTCTTCATCATTACTGCCGTACACTGTAAGACCCAACAGAGATTCACCAAGAGTCTCAGCATCTGTAATGACAATTCACTCATCAAAATGGAAAAATTAAAATCGTCTTGACAAAACCCTTTTCCCGGCCGGGCGGTGGTGGCGCACGCCTCTAATCCCAGCACTCGGGAGGCAGAGGCAGGCGAATCTCTGTGAGTTTGAGGCCGGGCTGGACCGACATCCTCCAAAACAGTACAGAGAAACCCTGTCTCATAAAAACCAAAAAAAAAAAAAAAAACCTTTTCCCAAGACATCCAGTTCTGGACTTGGGTTTATTTTATCATTAGTTGTATAATACTTGGGAAAAGAAACTGTACAAATTTCACAGTCGTTTCTATTTGGCAACTGGAATGCATTCCTTCCTAAGCCATAATCTTCCAATGAAAGATTAAGTCCAGAATTTAACCCTTTTGGAAAAGATTACAGCTCTGTTCATTCAGATTCTCTAGCTTGCTCCATTCAATCGAAATTCAAGGTGCTGGAGAGGCGGCCATGAGCATCTGTCCCGGAAATGCAGAAATCAACAAACCAGACGAGGCCTGCTGTGTAAGGACTAAGAGGCAGGCTTCACAGCTGGCCAGGCTGCTCTGCAGCCAGTGCTTTCAGATGTAGGCGCACATTTGCTTCCCAATCTGAAAATGGAACCTTTATTCCATCTTGGCATCAGTGAGAAGACCTAGAGTAACTTATGGTAGGGACATGAGGTTGCCTTTGAAGGCGCTTATGTTAGGAGATGGGGTGCCAGCTGACGAGCTCCTAGGAAGTGATTAATCCCTGTTGGAGTTACAATATAAGACGGCATCATTTCCAGGTGCTGGAGGGCAGGTAGTAGGGCGAAAATGGAAGGCAAATCTGACCCAAGCTCCTGTGACAAGAAACAGCACCTGACTCCCCAGCACCTCAGCACAGCTGCCCACAGCACTGCACTCCTTTCGTCACTTGATGGGGCTGCAAAGCTAAAACCTCCAGAGGAGAGAGGATCCCAGCAGCCCCAACAACCAAAAGGCACAAAAAATCAGAACAAAAGACACATTAAATAACTTTATGTAGCCCCACCCCAGGGAGGATAAAACAAGGCCAGGGGCAGTAGCACAGCAGGGTAAAGACTGCCGTGAGCACACAGCAGAGGCGAGCCACTTCTCACCTGGGCTGGCCTCTTCGTCATAATTATCCAAGTCATACTCAGCCAGCTCAACGTCATCTAGTGTGCGGTCATCCTGTGGGTCACCGTCCTCCAGGGGCTCCCTAGGCCGTGCCTGGGTCCGGACAGTCTGAATGCCATCTTCTGAAGGACTGCCTGCCTCCTCTTCCTCACTGTCAACTTCTTCTCTGAGTGAAAACAAAGAGGGAGAAGAAGTCACCCAAGAGGCACCTCCCAACCACGAGCGTATGATACGCTCCCCCTGGACTTGACCACAGGCACCAACACTGGGAAACTCACTGCAATTTTTCTTTTGCTTCATCGATGAGACGCTTAACTTCCTCTTTACTTAGCTCTACCTACAAGGGAGCAAACACTTCATTAGAACATATTCACAGAAACCATTACAAGCCTTTGAACTGAGTATTTGGGCAAATGTAAACTATAACTTCAAGAGTTATCAAGAAAATCCTGCACATTGGTCAAGGCTCTAAATTTAACCAGGCAGAGCTTGAACAGGTCCTATGATTAAGACCCCTCCCACTTAATACTGTTGAGAAGTCATATTCATTCTGCTCTACCTTCCTCAATATTCAAATAGGTTGGTTTTTGTAAAATGACCTATGGTAGCCTTTTCTTCTTCAAACTGTCTCAGACTCCAAGGGCACCTCCCTCTCTTGCCAGCGGTCACCCAAAAACAAACCATGGAACATTGCTCCTCTGCTTTTTTTCCCCCTACTGGCACTGCCAAATGCAAATTGATTCTGGGAACCAATTATACCCTCCAACTTCCCTCTTCTCTAATCTTGAAGTCCAGCTCAATTTTCCCAACTTTCAGTAAGATTTCCTATCTGGGTATCTACTGTTCTGAGTTCAAAACACCCAACACTACTAAATTAGGCTTGTGAAGGTCATTGACTGTTTGGTATGTACACTGAGCCCACAGTGTGGTCATATGGGAATGCTCCATGGTTGGAGGTGAATCAACTGTTCACTTTCTACTGAGGAGCCTCCAGCTCTTCAGCGCCTCTAACTCTAACTCTAGTATCCAGGAAGCTGAAGCAGGAGGACTGCCATAAGTCTGAGGCCACAGCGGACTACAAAGTTGAGCCCTGGTTTCCAAAACAAAACCAAAAATCTTATAATAGAGAATGAAGTTCTATTTTGGCCAAGGCAGATCCAGAAATTAAAGGTTAGAAAACACAGAGGAGGCGGGGAGCGCAGTCAGTCAAGTGTTTGTTGAGCAAGCATAAGGACCTAAATTCCATCCCAGAATTCACTTAAAAACTAGGCACAGTTGCTGGGCGTTGGTGGCACACGCCTTTAATCCCAGTACTAGGGAGGCAGAGGCACTGGGATTTCTTGTGAGTTCGAGGCCAGCCTGGTCTATAGAGAGAGTTCCAGGACGACCTCAAAAGCAATGCAGAGAAACCCTGTTTTGAAAAACAAAACCAAACAAACACCAACAACTAGGCGCAGTGACAAGCACACCTATAATCTCAGTTACGGGGAATCCAGTGTCAGACAGGAGGATCTCTGGTGCTTGTTGGCCAGTCAGTCTGTCTCAACTGGCTAGCTCTGGGCTCAGTCTGACAGCACACATGTACAAACACAAGAACATGGGCACACACACAAAAAAGGTATTCGTGTTGCTTGGCGTGGGGCACGGGAACTAGGGAATTTTAAAGACTCCCTTTCAAATACTTCAAAAGCTGTCCCTTTAAAAATGAAAACCATTTCTTTCTGGACAAATGCTAACGATTTGTCGTCCCTATTCTATAAACATGCATTGATTGCCTGCTGTGGGCAAAACATTGCACTCCGGTGGAATTTACACTTATAGTGTACTTCCTTCCATCCCTCAATCGCTGTAAATCCTGGTCCAGGCCACTCTTATACCGATCACATGGCGAGTTATCATTACACCCACAGCAACCCCTTCACTTCCACACCCTCTGACATCCCACACAGCCGAAAGTCGAGTGCAAAAAAGATCTCTGCCCTATCCCGTTCAAACATATCCCGGGTCCCGTAACACCGCCTGGCTTGCAGAAAGCAACCAGTATGACGACCAAACCCCTCCTCCGCTAGTCTCTAGCTTTTGCTCGTTCATAACGTGTCGCACTGACACCTTGTCCTCCCTAAGAAATTCCTAACAAGCAAGCCACCCCACCCCCTTTCGGGGCACAGAGTCCACGTGCTCGCGAATTCGGGGGTGGAGCCGGCCTTCCGGCCCCGGGCAGGGAAGGGGTGCGGCCCCGGCTCGCCTGGGGCTCCGAGCCGCAGATCCAGCGGCCACGGCCCGGCCGACCCGGTGAGCGTGCCCGGGCTCCTCCCCACAGCCTCACCTTGTCCGGCGTCTCTTTGGCCACGCCGCGCCGGACCCAGGCCACGCAGGTCACTTGGCGGCTGCGGTTCATGATCCTCGGCGACAACGCGTCTCCCGCTGGGTACCCGGGCGCGGGGAGCGACTCCACGGAGCTCCAGCAGCGCGCAGGCGCGGGCGCCCGCGTGGCGTCATTCGCAGGCGCCGAGGGGAAGGGGCGGGGACTTTGCGGGAAGAGGGCGTGGCCGCGTGCAGACCGGTGAGGACCGCGTTCCGGCTGCTCTGCGGCTGGTGGCTGTCCCCGTGAGCACAAGGAGCTCTTTGGACTGTAAGGGCCGAAGGCGAAACCCCGTCCCACCGCTCGATCTTGATTGTAGTTCCATGGATTCGGAGATGATTAAGCGGAGACGTCCATGGGTTGTTCATCTTAGTTTCGATAAAATGAATTTAATTCTCCAAGGAGGTTCCGCCTTTACGTTTCTTTGCCTTTTAACCCCCTATAGGATGGGGTCAAACCCAGAGCCCCATGCGTGCCACGTAAGCGCTCAACCGCAAACTGCACCTTCTTCCTCGCCACACCTCCTGCCATTTGGAGACTGTCTCACTACGTACCCCAGGCTGACCTGGAACAATGGGTCCTCCTGCCTCAGTCCCCAGAATGCCAGAGTTACAGTTTCATTATGAGTGTTACTTTCTCATAGGAAAACATTTAGCACCGGAACCCGGCATGGTGGCGTTTCTTTAATTCCACCACTGGAGAGGCCGAGGCAGGATTGCCACTGAAAGAACAAAAATAAATAAAAGGAGGACACGGCTGCTCCTGAAGGGGGTAAGGTTTTTATTATAACATAAGGGACGATACAGGTGGAGACAGACATCTGGGAGAGTCCAGAGTGCACGTGGGCAGCCAAGAGCAGTCCAACCCTTGCGCTGGAAGTTCAGAGTTAGCGGTGGGGTATGCTAACCAGGGGGAACCTGCTGCAGCCGGTCGGGCTGAGGGAGACTGGAGGCTAGAGTCTGCTTGGACCTGCTAACAAACACCTTGACTGTTCCTCCAGGGTTTGAGACCTAACAGCCACCAGGACTGTGAAGCAGTTATGAAGCAAGACTTGGCTAGAAATGCCCAAGCCCTCCCGTCCTGTTTTTAGTGTTGTGAGGAAACCCCATGAGCAAAAGCAAGCCAAGGAGGGGAAGCGTATTTTACTTACACTTGTGTGTCACCCGTTATCTCAGTGGTCTCACTGAGAAAAATGCCCCGTGGACGACGTGTCTGCAGGCTGGTCTTACCGAGGCGTTTCTCAAGTGAGGTGCCCCTCTCAGATGACTCTACACTCTACTCTCCCCGAAAACAGCACCTATGAGTTCCCACAGTTACTAATGGTAACAATCACATTGCGCTTATTAAGTTGAAGACGCAATTTTAAGTGCCCCACATTAAAATGGCCATCTAACCATGAAAATTTGCATATGCCAGGCAAGTGCTCTACCGTAGAACCACACCCCAACTCCATAATTTTTATTATTGCAAGACATACATAACAAAATTTATCTTAGTCCATTTTGAGTGTGCAATTGATGTTTATAATTGCAAATGCAGCGGTGATGAACAGGTGAGAGACCCTGTGTTTACAACAGCACACATGAACTGACTTCTTTCTTTCTCTTTACTGGGCTGGTTGAACCAATCCAGAGCCTTGTGCATGCTAGACAAACACTGCCAAGAACTACATCCTCCTCTATGAACCACTTAGCAGAGGCTACTTCTAAATGACCCGTTAAGGTTGGCTAGATGGGTTCGTCTGGCATGTGGGTGGGCTTGTGTTTTGAGCATTTGATTTGGGTATTCCCTGTGGCAGTCGCCCTATTAGCTCGATGCTGATCCTGTCTGCTTTGTACCCAACATAGTGCCCGATGCAAGGCAAGCACTTGATGTACATACTAAGTAGGTGTGTGTGTGTGTGTGTGTGTATTTTTTGGGGGGAGGTTTTCAAGACGGTCTCTCTGTAGCTTTGGAGCCTGTCCTGGAACTTCCTCTGTAGGTCAAAGGCCTTGAACTCACAGAGATCTGCCTGCCTCTGCTTCCTGAGTGCTGGGATTAAAGGTGCGTGCCATCACCACCTGGCTGATAAATATTTAAATTAAAGAATAGGAGTGAGCTATCCAGATAGCTATTTTGGGCCTACACATACTACCCTCCTCCTGAACTTATTTCCAGTAGTGAGCCATTTCACCCTAAGTTGTGAGTTTGCTTGAAAAATGAGAGCACAACTAGAGCTGCCATTGTTGGTTTTTATAACAAGAGCTGACAGACTGAGCTTAAGCAGCTGTCTCTAAGTTTTGTTCTTGGGAAATGATGAGCTTATTTAACCCAGAAAACTCTCTTTGCCAGAGGCATGTTGGTAGCACGCTGACTATTCTGGGAGTTAAGGGTCCCTATGGATTGAAGCCAGTGCCTGGTACACCCCTAGCTCAGTGCCTGTGTAAGTGGACTGATGAGCATTAATAGCTGGTGTGGTGGTTTGAACGGCCCCATAGGCTCATAGCGAGTGGCACTATTAGGTGGTGTGACCGTATTGGAGCAGGTGTGGCCTTGCTGGGAGAAGTGTGCCCCTAGGGTGGGCTTTGAGGTTTCAGTGTCCATTTCAGGCCCAGTGTTTCTTGCTGCCTTCTCATCTGGATACAGAGCTCTCAGCTACCGGTCCAGCACCATGTCTGCCCGCTTGCAGCCATGCTTCCACCCATGGTACAGTGGACTAGACCTCCACTGTAAGCCAGCCCCAACTAAATGTTTCCCTTTAATGGTGCCGTGGTCATGGTGTCTCTTCACAGCAGTAAAACCCAGGACACCTAGGAAGGAAGTGGATCTATGATGCCCTTCTTTCCAATCCAGTGGGGGATTTGGAGGCAAATAGTGTTACAGAAGCAGAACGTACCACAACAAGTTGATCATAACCTCCAGGGACAAAGACATGGTTGCAAGGTAATCACAAGAAGGCATCATGACAAGGAGGTCATAGCAATAAGTGGTCATAATAACCCCTGAAACAGGCATCATGACAAGGAGGTCATAGCAATAGGTGGTCATAATAACCCCTGAAACAGGCATCATGACAAGGAGGTCATAGCAATAGGTGGTCATAATAACCCCTGAAACAGGCATCATGACAAGGAGGTCATAGCAATAGGTGGTCATAATAACCCCTGAAACAGGCATCATGACAAGGAGGTCATAGCAATAGGTGGTCATAATAACCCCTGAAACAAAGGCATGGTTGCTGTTTCGTGGAATAGGCGGTACATAAGGCCACGGGTGGGGCACAGCCCAATCCTTGAGAAACAGACTTAATTATAAGCAGAGACAAAGCCTAAGATGGAGGCAGGCTGGTTTACGAAGATAAAGTGGGTTTAGATGTGGTCTATATTTTCTCATTCCCATGCCTGTCTTGTGTATTTTCACACTTAGCAAAGATTAGTGAATGACTGGATAAATGAAACAGTGAAAGAGACTTCTCAAGCTCTGTCTAACCAGGCATGGTCATGCTCTTCACACTGAATGCAGGAGTATGGCTCCACCTAGTGGACAATTTGGAGTTACGTCTGAACTTTGAACACCATCCTGCTCCCTGTGCTTGTTTTATTCTGTGGCTTCTGCCCATCCCTGCTTCACACACACTGAGGATGGCAGCACAGCCTTGCAGGTGACCTGGAGAGCCAAATGGGCCACCCAAGACGATGCTTGCAGAGAAGAGTAGCTAGGATGGATTCCCTGAGAGCTGCTGGGCATGTGTCCTGATGTGTGGATGGTGTCCTGAGAGCCATGTCCTGCTGTGTGGCCTTGAGCGAGCCTGAGTCTGAAGCCAGATGCATACATGATGATGGTCCATATCATGTGTCTGGGGCTACTTTCCACAGTCTGTAGGACCACCATGTGTATGTTATCATAGAGAGCACTGGCTTTAGATCAAGTAAGGAACCCAAGCTTCAACCTTAATAGGGTCAGTGTAAGGACTCAGGCACTATGCTGGCCTGCCCCTGTCACCTGATGGAACGCACTCAGGCAGTACCCTGGCCTGCCCCTGTCACCTGATGGAACGCACTCAGGCAGTACCCTGGTCAGCCCAGGGTTGCATGAGTACAGTCTGCACACAGGTGCAAAGGACCCTTTAAAAGAGACCCCGCCCACTTACAGTCTCTTCTTGCCCGCTCACCCTTTGCCCCCCTCTATCCCCCCTCTCACTACCCCCTTCCCTGTAATAAGCTCCACGTGCTTAACGAATCTCTTGGTTCGTGTTCCAGCGCACAATCTAATTTAAACAAAAGAACAACTTTTTGGTGCACGTGACTCGGCGGTTTTCCTGGCACTTTCTCCTGCCTGTGGCAGTCGGAGATATGCTGGGACCCTGTAACCGTTTACTTGATCACTCTTCCAACTAAGGATCTCTGAGTTCTTCTGTTCACCCCTGCCCTGTCTGGCAAGCCTGCTCCTCCTTTCTACCTCTTCCCTTGCTCCCATGAGGTAGGCCTCGTACTCACATCGAGACTGTAGTGCCTTTCACATTTGATCCTCCCTTAGTGTCTGGGATGCTGGAGATTGTAGGCTTTGAAGCTTCTCTGCCACTCTCATGGAAGCTGGCCCCCATATCAAACCATGTGCCCGCTTATGGCATCCTACATTCTACCAGTGACCCATAGTTGGGAGTGTGGCCTCTGCTCTTTTTTCTTCTTTTTTTGGTTTTTTGAGACAGGGTTTCTCTGTATTGTTTTGGAGCCTGTCTTGGAACTCATTCTGTAGACCAGGCTGGCCTCCAACTCACATCACAGAGATCTGCCTGCCTCTGCCTCCCAAGTGCTGGGATTAAAGGCTCTTTTTCACTTGTCTGTTTCCCTCCTCTCCTGTCCTGCTAAAACTGCTGCCTGCCACAGAGGCATCCTGCTGCTTCCTATCAGGGCGGGAACCTCCTTCCACCCCGGAATGGCCTGTTTCGTTAGAACTCTTATGCTCCTGTTCAAAATGTCTCTCTCTCTCTCTCTCTCCTGCTTGGCCTGTCCCTGCTGCCCTTGGACCGTGTGTCCTCCCTGTGAAGATGCCAGCGGCTCAAGTTTTTTAACTTCTGTGGAATGGGAATGTGCTTATGGAAGCAGCCATCTTGACCACATGGCCTGGCTGTGGGCCCT